GAGTTTCTTGCTCTGGACGATATCAAGCAGGGCAATGATATCGATTTAGCTGAGGGCGAGGGTATTGATACCAAACCAGTTGCTACTCTACCCAAGCCTCCCATTGCTCTCGTCCCACTTGCTGAAGTGGAGAAACGTAATTATGCCCTGCTAAGTCGTACTGGCGAGCTCCTGGGTAGTAGGAAAGATTTCCGGATGAACACGTGCACGTGTCATCCGAGTGGAGCACTGCTAATGGACTATGCTGACATAGCCCTGGTACCACGTGCTCTGTCCTCTCCGCTGCTACCTTCTCTCGGTGGTGATGAGACACTGAGACATGGACTGCCTGCTGAGGGTATGTCTTTCGCACCGGGTATGGATGATACGAATGTAGTCACCGAGCCGCCGCCAGCCTTTGTCCTGGACGATCCCAACGAACTGGATGCAACGTTCCCTTCACCTGAGAAAGGTGCCCCGATAGAGAAGCCCGCTGGCAGGCTACCGAGGCGCTTGAACACAACATCTTCACGTCCATCCGTGTCTACGCCAGTGCGAGATCCATGGGAAGTACTAGATCCTCACGAAACGCCGTCATCACAATCCGATAAGGCATTTCGCCGCGGCCGGCCGTTCCGAATTCCCGGTGTTCTGTCTGGAAGAGGGCAGAAGAGTGCTAATAAGAAGCGTGCTCATGAAGAGTCCGGCGGTGGTAGTACATTGGATAAGAGCAGCTATGATCAACCAGAACTCATGCCACTTCTAGAGTTTTGCCGCTTGGCGTTCCACTCCCAGGCATCGCGTTTCCCATCCAATTTCCTGAAGGCACCGTCGTTTGCCGACTTCGAGGAGCTCTTTTGGGCTGAGCAGAAGCGTCGGCGGCAACAGCTGAAGAAAGAGCGTGCCTTGTGCCGTGAGAAACTGAGCCGTGAGGATGAAGAGTATGCGTTTGATGATAAGGAGTATAGCGATGACGAGGAAGCACACATGGTGTTTCAACCGGGCGGACAGAGCTTGGGGCAGGCTGCAGCTGGGGTGGCGGGATTAGCGACCACATCAGTCGGTGTCGGTCCGGCCGATAACTCTGGCGATGGTGATGACCTCGGATTTGCTGGCGGTGATGACGGTGTATTCGCTGACCTGGGTCCAAGTCAGTTTGGTGGAGCCATCGGTGGTCGTGTCGGTGATGGCATAGAACCGATGGCCATCGAAGACGGTGCGCTGAGTCAGTTTGTTGTGTCTTCTTATGAGGACTTGGTACGGCAGCACGTCGATGGCTTCATCACCAGTGCTAATCAGTATCTGAAGGAATCCGACCTGGCTCGACGCGTGCGCGAGTGGGAGGAGAGAATCAAACCAGTGCTTGACGAGGAAGAGCAGCACCCACCGTACGACATTCACGCCTACGGCTGGCAGGTGCTGCAGACGTTCAGTGATGATACTCATCAGGATCAGATTGACTTTGCCAAGGTGGCTGAAGGTAAGCAGCAGTTTGAAGTGTGCCGCCTCTTCCTCGCCTCACTACAGCTGGCCAACAACCGCAACGTCGACATTGTCTGTGGCTCTAGCGACCGGAACTCGATGCAGATGAAGCTGCTGCAGACTGAGCAAATACACACCAGACTTGAGCAATACCAAGCGCCCTCTTTAGCTTCATCAAAGGACTCCTGAGAAATCACGTTTAGTTGCCAGCCACCGCCATTGCTGCCACTGGTTAGCTACAAGTAGCTATTTTATTGTTCTCGTTGGAAACGGCTTTGACTTTCCACCTCTCTTTCTCTCTCTCTCTCTCTCACACACACACACACTTTCTCACTCTCACTCACTCTTTCTCTCTCTTTTTCTGTTCTCTTAGCACCAGATCATATCCTGCTGACTGTTGTCAGTGTAACTGCATCAATACTATTATGTCTGGTAAAGTCCACTATTACTTAGGTTTATTCACTACGTCATCATCAATGTACGACGTGTTGTACAGCATTGATCCTGTCACTCAATTGGAACAGTTTGAGCTCTACGTTTCGAATGCCATCATTATTTTTAGGTCACCTCAAGTTTTTAGTATTGTTGGGCGCGGGGAGCTTGTAGCTTTTTGGGTTTCTTTGCTCAATATCCTTCTCTCGGGTCTGTCGTCTTTGTTTAGGAGGCTGTGCGCTGCTGCTGCTGCCGCTTGCTACCGTTTTACCGTTTTGCTACCGTTTTACTTTCTGATGTTTCTTTACCGGGCAGGTCCCTTCTTGTGATAATACTATCATATGCTTCATGCTCCATCTCTTATCTTTGTGGTTTGCGTAGTTCCTCTATTTTTAGTTATTCAATTTTAACTTTGTACTCGTGAAGTTTGAATTTTGATGACTCAGTCAAGTGGTTCAGTGCGTGGAAGGGTCTCCATAGAGTATTCTTCTAATGTTGCAAAGACTGGTAGCAGTCAGGTGTCCTACGACAGTGCAATACACTACACTGTATCGTCTATGATTGATACAGAAAGATGACAGTCGAGACATGCATGTACCAAGTCAGTGCTACTAGGCCGCCTTAATGGTTTGTAGGCTGGTCGGCTTTAGAGTTTAGTAGCATGCTGCATCTAGGGACCCGGCACTAAATCGAGCATTTTAGGGTGCAAAAATCACACGAGCATAATCGGCTGGTTACTGACGTTTGTCGAGTGGATGGTGCGGATGAGGAGGAGGCTGAAAGTGAAAGGGATGAGGAAAGCAAGAAGGTGGTTTCTCTGCTGGACAAGCTGAAACCAGCAAAGCTATCTGAACTTGCCAGACCCAAAAAACAGAAAAAGAATATTTTTTTGTTTCCTTTATGTTTCAGAATGCATCTTTTTGGGTTGGATGCGAAGAAAGACCTGGATTTCAAGCGAAAATTTGTGAGAATTTCTGGGAATTATCGGCATGGTTTCAGGCATTATCGGCATGTTTGAAAGAAGTGCGAGAAAGCATGATGGGTGATTTTTCGAGCATATTTGCCCGGTGCCGAGCTGCATCCAACAATAGCTTGCTTTTTTGCACAGCCGTGACACCACGGTTTTCTTTTTTTTCAGATGGAAGGTGAATGGTCGGACGGTGTCCCACAACTCAGACGATTCTGCAGCACCGGAAGTGCGAGCCGATGAGACTGGCCACAAGCGGGAAGTACATGTACACTACCTGTACTTCCATGTTATGAGTACCGGTATCAAGAGTACATAACCATATGTACTCTTCATACCGGTATGTACATGCATGTACCAACACTGGACAATAGTAATTGAGTTGTCAAACCCGCACCAATGTGTAAGATATGCGTCATGCTGAAATCACAAAGGCTACTTGTGAGTCCAATCATGTACAGTGTACAGTAAGTTTTTTTTTTTAAACACCAGAGATCTAAAAAGTTAAAAATAAGAGTAAAGAGCGAAAGAGGATATGTGCAATGTCAGCTATCATGTGCAATCACAGAGCGGTATTAGTCCAGACTGCAAGCTAACGCTGTACACAGTCATATTTGACCAACGGTTACTTCATACCAGAAACGTAAAAGTACAAAATCCACAAAGCGTACGAGTTACTCGGAAGTATGCATTCACCCAATGTTCCAGCACTGGATCCATATGACCTGCTATAGCATTCTAAAACAACTATGTACAGTGCAATAAATGGACAAATTCAGACAACAAAACTGGAGCTGGGTGAGTCCATTTCAATCCAAGGAAAAAACCCCACTCAGAAGCGATTGATGATTTTGTCTTGGTCAGCCAGTTCCTTCTGTGCCTTCCTGCGCATGTAGAAGATAGGACAGTCGCGGCTGGTGCACAGGACGTCTTCGTGCAGGCTGCCCTGACAGCGCTGACATTCCGTCCACAGGCGATGGAACTTCTCCTCGAGCGCGCTGAGATGCTGCATCTCGCGCTGGTAGATGCTGGAGTCGTTGGCGCGGCAGTGCTGGCACAGCGCGTCGTTGGCATGGTCGCGGTCCAGGACTGCTTTACAGCCGATGCATGTGTTGCGTTTCTTGGCAAAGCCAGCCAGACCACCCACGGCCGAGGTGACCTTGGTACGGCATAGAGTGTGGCTGCCTTCGAGGAGCTCCGCCTTTGCACGCTTATCTCCCAGAATGGGCTCGAAGATTCGCAGCAGCGGGTTGGAGAGTTGATTTTCCAAGTAGTACTGCGTGTCGATGGCGATGTTGTTTTCCAGAACGTAGATCGGATCCTCCGACTTGAGATATGCCGGCGTGCCCTTGGCTGCGGCAATGATCACGTACGGGACACGGTCACCGAGAGCTGGCGCGGAGCCCGCGTCACGCTTGCGCATCTTGTTGGCCAGCTCGCGATGTGCTTGCTTGTTGCCGGACTCGGTGTCCGACTTGGTCAGCTCCTTGGAGATGACGAGCTGGGAGATGTCGATACGATTGCACAGCAAGTCGGAAATGGTCTGCTTGGCGAAGGCGACGGCGCCGTTCGGGTCGCGTTCAATCAGACACTTCTTCAGACACGAGCCGATCAGATTGGCCACAAGCGGGCAGTTGTCGCGGCGCACGGTCTCAATGCCCTTGCAGTCCATCTTGTCGTACTTGTCGGCGCGGGTGAAGTACAGGCCTGCATAGCGTTTCTTATTGATCAGTAGGTAGGGATGGTATACCTACAGTGCACAACACATACACACAGGCAAATACTTCAGTATACATGTACAGTACTGTAAAAGCAGAAATTTTCGGTGGTGTAATATTTTCGGTATTCTCCAAAATCGGCGCTTCGGTGGAGGGAAATTTTCGGTAAAACCCGTTCTCCAGGTAGGTGTACTAGTACTACATGTATACAGTATCGGTTGTACCGAAATTTTTGGTGCGTTTTATTATGCGTTTTATTATCTTGTCGGCACCGAAGTTACCGAAAATAAAACACCACCGAAAATTTCTGCTTTTACAGTACTCTGTACAGGTAACACATGTGGGATGTGAAGTACAGGTAACACATGTGGGATGTGAAGTACAGGTAACACATGTGGGATGTGAAGTACAGGTAACACATGTGGGATGTGAAGTACAGGTAACACATGTGGGATGTGAAGTACAGGTAACACATGTGGGATGTGAAGTACAGGTAACACATGTGGGATGTGAAGTACAGGTAACACATGTGGGATGTGAAGTACAGGTAACACATGTGGGATGTGAAGTACAGGTACTTTTGATCCCGGATATAGTACCTCAGCTGTACTTCTAGATAACAAAGTACAGATGTTACGGCCCTGGGAGGTAGGGTACAGGTACTGAAGTTTGGCTATACAGGCGGCAGAAGCAAAGAGAGCAGAGAGCAAGCTCTCGGCCGATCTGCACAAACACTGTAAGGCACTGAAACGACTCAATAGCTGACATTGGTAGCGGTTTCAAAGTATTCTCCCACTTCACCCAGGCCTGATCATAATACAATACATAGACAAAATATACCACTTCCGATGCTGAAGCATTCCTACCTACTAACTCGCAGTACCCGGTACATAGTAGCACCCAACACACTGCGGACCAATGGACCAAGTTATCAGCAGCAACCGTGCCTGTCTGGGTGTAGAAAACACCCAAGAAAACGTGTTACCAAGGATTCCCAGGCTCATGTCACGATAATAAAAGCAGATTGCATGCGCAGCGCAACATGCATCTACCCAGCACCGTCAACAAACCACCCACCTTCTCAAACTCGAGACGAATGGGCTGGGGAAACTGCTCACTGATGTGAGCTGCCGCCTCCTGCCCCAGCGACATGGCAGCCGCTACATTGTCACAACCAAACTTCACCATGACCGAGTCAGTGTCACCGTAAATGACCTGCAGGAGAGTGTATCACACAACGATCGAGAACATGTCATACGATGTTGATGAACGGCAACAAGGAAAGCATTGTGCACGTAGGTAGCATACTGAAACTAGTAAACATTTGCAAGCAACCGCCCACCCAACTCAAACTTGCATGACCTAGTATTGATTGCATACGCATGTGCTTATTGCGTACCCCAGCAGTTCCACTCAGAAAACATTGCGGAACAATGGAGAACTGACAAGTTATCAGTACAGTCGTGTATGTCCGTACCGAAAAGACCCTACAAGTTCATCTCATAACATGGAAATGCTGTGCACCCAAAACGTGACCATTCACAAGCTATTTAGACATGGTATCCACTGTACCCCGAGTACAGTAAAACCTGTAATGGCCACCACTCGCATATGGCCACCATTCGGATATGGCCACCACTCGGATATGGCCACCACTTTTCCTTGTCACGGACGCATTCACATTCAAAACAGCTCGGATAAGGCGACCACTCGCTCAACGCGACCGACGACCACCCACCCGCGACCGCGTCGCACAGTGCTAGTACAATGTAAATCAGGGAGTCGTATATACCTCGGTTTATACGACTCCCTGATGTAAATGTATGCATCGCATGGTAGATCTACACATGGTGCATGCACGACACTTGACAGGTCTGAGGACGCCAGGCACATGAGTCATGCTAGAGTAGCATCGGTGTGTGCACTGTGATACACTGATCAAAATGATGTATCACATGTGGATATGGTCACATGACCCACTGAACCTGGATAAGAAGACCATAAGCCCTAACCCGACCCAACGTCAAGACAGCAGATACTGAACACCTGAATGACACTTCGCCACACCACAATCGTATAGCAGAGGTAGAAAATCAGAATGAGAACAGCACAGCCACGATGGATTCCACTCACCTCGGCCGTGTGCTCATAGCCATTCTCCTGGCAGTACTTCTTCTCAACAATCTGCCGAGTCTTCTCAATCATCTGCCGCCCGAAAGCCGTGGTACTGCGAGAAATAGCCAGGCAGGGCAACTTGCCAATGCTTGCACCCGTGAAGCCATACACAGAGTTCGCGCTGATCTTCAGAGCAAGCTGTCGACCGTCAAGCACACTCCGGCGGAACGGATCCGTCTCCTTCTTCAGGTCCGCCTTGGCTTTCTTTCTGGCCGTCAGCAGGTTCTCCAGAATCTCCGGCAATAGGCCTTCGCGGATGTGTGACTTTGCAAACGTGTCTCCGGAAGGCGTGATGATGTAGTCTTCGGGGTTGAGCTTCTTCTTGCTTTCATCGTTGAGCAGCGAGGTGTAGCAGAGGTTGTAGGCGCGCATGATGGACGGGTACAGCGAGGCAAAATCCAACGTGGCGATGGGCATGGCGTAATAGCCTTGGCGTGGCTCGATGACCGTAGCACCTTCGTACTCCTCACCGGGCTCGGACTTGTACGCCGGCAAGACAAGGTCCTGCTCGCGTGCCTTGCGCAGCAGCTGCGAAACTACTTTGATCTGCTGGCCACGGGTGAACAGGTAGCCGAGCGGCACACCGGTGACGCGCGCCATTTCCATGTAGTTGACGACGCACATCAGCTTGTTGAGCAGCCGCAGCGGCAGGATGGCGTCTTTCATGCAGTAGACGGCAAGTCGGCGGCGAGTCTGCTCGTTTCCGTTCTGCAGATCGCTGATGATGGAATGCTGCACGTCTTCTTTCTGCTCGCCCAGAAAGTGGTAGCTGACAGCATTCAGTGTGTACGAACGCAGCTTGTGATCACGCAGCAGTACCTGCAGCAGATCCAGCTGAATGCGTCCATGAATCTCAATCACCTTATTCTCACGCTTGCCATACGCCTTCGACTGGAAGGTGCTGTCCCGGATGGTGCTACGGTCGGTCTTCATGCGACCTAATAAGGTGAACTTCTGGACCTTGAGCGCAGCTGCTCGGTTTATCAGGTACGGAAAATCAAAGTTGATGATATTGTAACCGGTGATCACATCTGGGTCGACTTCGCGGATGAACTCGGACCAGGTGCCCAAGAGTTCTCGTTCGGTTTCGAAGCTGACAACCTCAGAGCCAACAATCGGTGCACAGGACTTGAGCGTGAAGACGTTGCGAATGAAGGGATCTCGCTCACCCTGCCGGGACACCATGTTGGCAATCTGAATAACCGGGTCATGCTCTGCCTCGGGAAACACTCCCTTGCGTCCAGCGCACTCGATGTCAAAGCTGAGAATGCGCAGCGGTGGAATCTTCTGCCACTCGCCTTCCGGTGGATGACAGATGAGATCCTCGTACGACAAATCAATCTCGTATTGGCTGGTCGACAACGCTGGGAAATCCCCTTTATTGTCACGCAGCCTGTACTTGCCAGCTGGTGCTTCAACCCAACAGCAACCAGCGGTCTTGGTATCAACCATGAAACGAACCTCAAAATCAATGTTGCTTTCAAACGTCTGGTACGCCTGGGCTGAATGGGCCGACGTTGATATTGCACCAGTTTCAAGAAGGCGCTTGGCTGGAGCAATAAGCTTGGGTAATGCCATGGTTATGCGCAAAAACGGGATTTTGCGATTGCCGTGGTAGCCATAGATGTTTTCACGGCTCACAATGTCCACAGCCAGCACGGCAGTGGAGACTTGGTCCTTGTTGGAGCGCATGTCGGAAATGACGGCAGAGTTCAGCACACTGCGGAACGCCTCCGCATCGCCGTCTTTCATCCCAGCCGGCGGAGCGGGAACGTAGAAGTACGGTGCAAAGCCATGCACGTGAGCACAGACACTGTGACCATCCATGGTGACACCAAACATGCGTACGACGGGCACAGGTCCATTCAGAGCACCAGGCATACTGGGAACGCTCTTTGGGGCGATATAATGATCCAGCTCCAATTGCAAGAATGTCAAGGTATCCTTTCCAGATTCCAGAGCCGGTGCTGCAGGACGGCACCAACGTTCACGCTGTGATGTTGCAGTGGACTGGGAAAACGTGGACTGGCCCTGAGATTGTTCTTCCCTGCTGCCGCTACTGCTAGTACTGGCTTCAATGGCCATTGCTTCGTCCATTTCTTGCTCGATATTCTCAAGGGCTGCCAGTTCCGCCTCAAAATTCGATGGCTCTTGACTAGACGCAGCCATCGCATCCCCCGGATGCTTGGCTCGTTTCTTATCCTGCTCTGAAGCTCCAGAGGAGCTTCGTTTCTCTTGGGAAGCCTTCATCCCAAGCATTTCAAACTTCGTCCCCACTTTCTTTCCAACCCATTGAAGACAAGTCAAATTTTGGCGCGGAAACGTGCTTTGCATGCATCACAACATAAAAAATTCACACTAAAATCAGGATTCCGGTGCGCTTTTTAATTAATTTTTTTATTATTTGCATCCGATCCGAAGATACGCGTTTATACGGTAGTTTTCCAAGAAAATAAAAGTCGAAAATCGATCACCAGCACATCAAAGACGGTACATACACATGATACAGTCATTAAAAGGGAAGTGCAAAATTAATACTGCTTGTATAAGGTCCTCTCGCTCGTACATGTACTAGTAGTAGATTGCCCCACCCCCTTCTTCAGTGGTATAGTAATGACAGTGTTCAATTGAATTGGACAGCTACTCCTCAATCATCATGATCATAGCGCAATAACACAGTCTTGTGTCCGGCAGGGTTCTCTTCTACATGCACTAGTGCCGTAACCGGTATTGTAGTTGCCGGGTGCAAAACAGGGAGTCGTGACCACGGTGACAAACATGATCCCGTGCAGCGCTGTTTACATTCAGAGCATCCGGTTTCCAGTGACTTTACGTTATGTTGATGAAGAACACCGGTGGAGATCTGCAATTAAATGTACGGTTGATTCGAACACAACCCGAGTGCAGAAGAGGCACTTTCTCGTGATGTTTCGAGTGGACGTGTAAGTCTGTATAACACGAGGTGACAAGGTACAGCAAGCCCTGCATGCTATCATCACCAATGCTAGAGTACCTAACGTTAAAACAGCAAAGGCAAATCACGGTACAGTGTACCCCTGACAGCCAGAGCGCCATAACGTTATGTGCACTACCATAAGTCATAACCCCCGGAGAGTACATGGTCCGGGAGGGGGGGGGGGCGACCTGGGGGTCATGTACTCTTGGTAGTACCCATGCAATGAAAACAACACTACATTGTAACGTGACGTGCTGCGCATCGCCAGCATGAAAAGTAATTGAAAACAAAACCAGGTCAAGCGCTTACGCAAGTTCTTTTGTTGTTGCAAAAAGCACTCCGAGGCGATGTCGGAGCAAAACGTCCAGCATTCTGTTCCAGACAAACACTACTACTAACCTACAGCAGGTGAACGAGTAGTTCTATACGGTATATCCAGTTCCAGGAACAACTGGACTAAACGGTACCTAACTTGTGTGTATATTCTATGATAGAACATGCACATAATGTCTAAAAAGATCTTTCAACAAAAATAGGCTAAGAGGCTCGGTGATGTCCACTGTCTTCATGGCCCTCCTTTTGGTTATTACTGGGTGTGTTCCGGACGTCATCGATTAGGACCAGACCTACACGGCGTCATAACCCATGGAGCATGAACTGTACAAGCAACTCTAGCCATGGTATCAAGGCATGAACTGTACAGGGACAGCTATCCATGATGACACCAAGGCGGCCTGTCAAGAACTGCTCGTTGCCCCTGTGCTTGATGAGGGTTTCTTCTTGCTGCTGCCGCTGCTGCTACTGGCTGCAGCTTTGCAATGTTTCTTGTGCGTGAACCAGTGTAGAGACTGACATTTTCGGCCACAGTAGGAGACCTGCGAGCGGGGGAAAAAACCAGGCACACAAAGTGCGTTCAGAAGAAACACAAGGCACAAAGCAGAACAATTATCAAACTACACTTGTAGTGTACAAAATCATTGATGCTCTGCCAGGACACAATCACTGCTATTCTTCACTGAAGATACCCGCTGTGGTGAAAATTTGGAATAACCGATTTATTAGTACACTTGCAGTGAGAGACCGAGAGAAGTGGAGTAATTGAAAGGATACAATCACTTCAGTACATTACGATCTGATCACAACATTTACGGAAGAGCGAGCGGGACTACAGCGCTACATGTAACTGGTCAACTCAATCTTCTTCTTCTTCTTCTTTGATTCAGATGCCGAGACGTAACACGCAGCATGGAAGCCACAACAGGTACATCATCCAACGAGGACTTGTACAGGTACATCCAACGAGGACTTGTACAGGTACATCCAATGAGGACTTGTACAGGTACATCATCATCATCATCATCTGCTCTGTTTACAGACCCCCTGGAGACAGCATCTCCCAAGTCCAGGCATTTAGTGACCTCCTAGAGGACTGTCTGTCCAATATTAGCCTTCCCAATTCTGCGATTGCACTTGCAGGAGACTTGAATGCTCGCCACTCTGACTGGTCTCCTAGAGACACCACGAATCGTGCTGGAAGGGAGTTCCGTAACCTCTTCTCTTGTTTTGGCCTTGAGCAAATGGTGACATTCCCCCCACCCTTTACCCCCCCCCCCCCACGGCTCAACATCGTGTATTGACGTTGTGCTCACGGATCATCCTCACCTACTACTCTCTGTTACATCTCTTGCTCCTCTTGGTGCATCTGACCACGCACAGATCCTCAGTCACTTCCTACTGCCTACTGATGCTGTTTATCGTGAGGAACCTGCTGCAAACGGACATCCCGCTGCTGCACCCCAATACCACTTCAGGAATGTTCCTGCAAAGCCGGAATATGACTTTAAATCCGTGCCATCTTCCGTCTGGGATAGTGTGAATGCAGAGCTCGCTGATATTGACTGGAGCTGGCATCTGCGTGCCAGCAACGTCAATGATGCGCTTTCGCACTTTTCTTCCATTCTCAACAGTGCCCTTGAGAAGCACCTCTGGCCATTCGGAAAGCAGCCGTATTCTCACCGCTGCCCACGGCCCAGTCAGCCACCCTGGGTTGATGCCCATCTCCGCACAGCAATCAAGTGGAAATGTGATCTCTATAGCATTTTTAAGAAGTACCCAACACAACAAAACAATCAAGCATACCAACAGCAGCGAAATATAGTGAAAACCTTGACGCGGACAAAGTACAGAGCTTATATCCGCTCAGTGCAAACTACTTTGCAGGGTAGTCACGTCCGTCATCACCACAACTGCCACTGTCCGGCGTCATCTGAAGAAGCTTCCGACGTGCAAGGCATCTGGTCCCGACGGCATCCCCAACCGGGTCCTCAAGGCCCTGGCACCATCCATAGCATTCCCTTTGTGCCATATTTTCAACATGTCATTTACCACGGGCATATTCCCTTCCGCATGGAAAACAGCGAAAGTCATACCTGTACACAAGAAAGGTACCCGCCACGAACCTGCAAACTACCGCCCTATCTCTCTTCTTCCCTGCGTGTCCAAAGTATGTGAACGCATCTTTTATGATCACTTATACAGACTTGTTTCGCCGTTTCTGAGTCCCGCACAATCTGGGTTTCGTAAAGGCAACTCCACCTCCCTTCAACTGACCCGCATCGTGCAGCAGGTGTGCCAGCATAGGGATAACAGAGCGCTTGCTGGTATTTGCTTCTTTGACTTGACCAAGGCGTTTGATACCGTCTGGCATCGAGGACTTTTGGCCAAGCTGGAGCATGCATTCAGGGTACGTAAACAACCACTCTCCTGGCTGAAATCTTATCTCTCTGGGCGTTATCAGTACGTAACTGTGCTTGGCACATCCTCGGCTGCAGAGCCAGTATTGTCAGGCGTTCCTCAAGGATCAATTCTTGGTCCCCTACTATTTATTTACGTAAACGATTTACCTGCAGTCTTCCCTGGAACGTCTCTGTTTGCTGACGACACGACCCTTCTCACCTCATCAGCTTCCCTCACTGGCCTGAAAAACAACTTGCGTGCTGGCATTCAGGAAGTTCTTTCCTGGATGTCGTCCTGGAGATTGTCCCCAAATCTATCAAAAACAAAGATCATGCTCTTCCCGCCCCAGCCAGAGTTCACAACCCTCATCCATGCCAACTTTCCAAATCCAATTGACATAGTGTCTTCTCACAAACACCTTGGCATTGTGATTGACTCTGCACTCTCTTGGGTACCCCACATCGAATATATCTGTAAAAAATCAAGTAAATCCTTAGGAATTCTCTCCCCCCACTGCTCCTACCTCCCACTTTCTTGCAAGCTTCATTTTTATTTAGCCTACCTTCGCCCAATATTTGATTATGCCGATACGTCTTGGGTTGGATTATCCTCTTCCGCTGCTGCAAAGCTTGAAATACACCACAAGAAAATCCTTAAAATTCTCCTCCGTCAACCCCGCATGCTCTCATCATCCGCCCTTTATAAAATCGCTCACACAACCCCGTAATCACATGGACGCAGTGCACACCTGGCTTCTCTTGTCCATTCCATTAGGCTTGAGTTGTGCCCACCTCATCTCATGTGTTTTAATTGGTTCTCTTCTCTAAGAACTAGAAACTCGCTCTTACTCCCTAAGTGTAACTCATCCACTCTTTTGCGCTCCCCTCTTCTTATTGCTTATTCTGTTTGGCTCACTCTACCCAGAGAAGTTAAGGATCTGACCTCACTCCGCCTGTTTAAGATCCGTGCCGCCCCTTATTTACTACGACATAAATAGCTCATTATCCACATGTCCTTGCGTCTCTGTGTTTTTCACTTGACATTATCTTTCTTTACGGAGTTGTTGTTGCTGTTCATTTTGCTACTCTTTCTTTTTCCCTCCCCTTACTTTTATTTATCGCCGTGGTTGGCAATCACCCACTCTCTTAACATTGGCCGGTGTTTCCACCGAGTCTTGAGATGTTGTAATAAATATATATATCATCCAACGAGGACTTGTACAGGTACATCATCCAACGAGGACTTGTACAGGTACATCATCCAACGAGGACTTGTACAGGTACATCCAACGAGGACTTGTACAGGTACATCCAACGAGGACTTGTACAAGTACATCATCCAACCAGGACTTGTACAAGTACATCATCCAACGAGGACTTGTACAGGTACATCATCCAACGAGGACTTGTACAGGTACATCCAACGAGGACTTGTACAGGTACATCCAACGAGGACTTGTACAGGTACATCCCACGAGGACTTGTACTAAACTTTGGGGCTGAAAATCCACCAAAAACCTTGAAAACACCTAAGAAGCATTTTCCCTCGAGGATGCACTTACACCCGAAAGATGCAAAAAATATGCACCGTATAATGTGGAAAAGCCCAGACGATGGTACTACAGCGTCAAAACAGATTACATCCCAGAAGTACTTTAGCAAAGTGCAGTCACCGGTTAGGAGTTGGTATCTCTTAATCTGTCATCAGCAAATCCCAAAAATTTAATTATAATTACTATAGGATTCGTACATGTAGTTCAAAGTACTCAATGCACGTGTAGTAACGTTAACTGAAGACGCGGTGGTGGTGGTGGTGCTGGTGGTGGTGGTGGTGGTGTGCCGTGTGTGGTGTGTGGGTTTAGTACACACAGCATTGATACGGGGAAACACTGGAAATTACCTGGCTACATCCCGTACAGCGGCGAACATTCTGGCCTGTTCCGCAGGTAACACAGTGTTTGGACTCATCATACCTGTTTGCGTGAGGACACATCAAGAAAGAAACACATTATCAACAGGGAGGCACCAACACTCTTGATTCCAAAAACTCAGAAAGAGGGGCTGGGTGGGGAGAGACAAGATTCATGGATAGCAGTTACACTAACAGCAATGATATCACACTCACTGGCAGTGATACACACTGTACTAAAGAAAAACAGCAGCCAAACCCTGGGAAGATAATTGATTGTGGAGTGCCATAACGTCAGACACCAAGACCAGGCAGAGGCAACCCAACAAGAGGGCGTGAACGCCCAGGAGCCCTCACTATGTTTCGTTTTTACCTACATGTAGGTCATTTAAAACGTGGTTGGTGCGGCTTCGGTGATACTTATGTGTGTTATTCGAACTGGTAGAAACGTCGTTGCAATACAAAAACATATGCCAGATAATCGTATTGCAAAGACGCTTCTATCAGTTCGAATAACACACATAATTACCTACTTTTACTAAATTAGATAAAAACAAAGCATAGCGAGGGCTCCCGGGCTTTCAAGCCCTGTCGTTCCAAATATTTTTAGTTAAAAATATATGTTTAGCTCAAAAACACACATAGATACCTCAAACCTCTAATTCCCAGACAGGTACATTCTGCCAATTACACACATTTATAGTTATTCAAGCAGTAGTTTGGAGGCGGTGGGAAAACAGTTTCGTAATAAGTATTCGCATGCAACGACGCAAATCCACACAATTCAGTAGACACTTCTTTTCTATCAAACAAGGTTCCCTGATGTGTTCAATGTGTTTGTCTACAACTTGCAGCTGTTTGTTTTTGAGTTTTTAACACTTTAATCATTTTAACACCTATGTTGAAGTGTTGACTTTTTTCTTTCTTTCATTCTCTATATAGTTATGTGTTTTTCAAATTTACAACATTCCCTGTACTATCCTGAAGAGAAGGGAAAGAAAACGTTTGATAGAAAAGAAGTGTCTACTGAATTGTGTGGATTTGCGTCGTTGCATGCGAATACTTATTACGAAAATTTATAGTTATGTTATTCTTTGATGCTAGCTTCCCCCTTCCCCCCCCCCCCTCCCCTCCAAATGGAACAACCTCCAGAGCGTCATTACGGATGCTGCTAGTGAAGTGCTGGGCCACAGGAAATGTCGCCAACCAGAATGGTTTGCTGAGAATCGGACTGAGCTCCAACCGCTGCTTGATGACCGCAATGAATGCTATACAATGTGGGTCTCAAATGGGAGAACTACAAGAATGCCCGTAGAAGGAGCAGGCTTGCGGTACGTCATGCCTATGCAGGCCCGGAGCCAGCTCATGAGGGGTGGTACATGAAAGCTGGAATTGCTCAAATCTGGTGCGGCCATGGCCGTACTGGCCGTACCAGTGGCGCCGACCCTGGAACGACTGTGTAATAGGTGTATTTATGCTACGACCTGTACAATGTCATACTCACTATTCGTATTTCCCGCTCGTTCCCCTTGGCAATGAGACCCACGTATAGAAGAGCGCATGCTCCAGTGGATCTCTAGTGCTGTCTTGAGTTGCCGTTGTCCTGTTCTCCTTTCCATTCCTGTCTACACCCTTGTCGAATACTTCCATACTTCAATACTATAAAACCCCTGTGTTCTGGTGTGAGGGGACTTCATTAGCCGGGAGCTAACACTGGTGGCAGCGGAAAACGTCCACGTCTACATCGCTGGCGGAGTGTGTACGCCTTCGGAGATCGTCTGCTACGAAGAACCACGGAGGCCCACGCAAGAGAACTACCATTTCCTCATCCACTCTCTTCGTCGATATTTTCCTTTCTGCATTGTGTTTCTTTCTGCTCGTCGTTTTCTTGTTGCATGCATTGTTTACAGTCCATAGGTCACGCATTGGCGCCAACCTGTCTGGCCAAACATTTTTTCAGAACATTTTCACCCTTGTCGAATACTTCCATAATTCAATACTATAAAACCCTGTGTTCTGGTGTGAGGGGACTTCATTAGCCGGGAGCTAACAACTGCGTGCCGGCGGGGCTGCTGGAGCCTCGGGTATCTTGCAAAAGATGGTGAGGGCTGGCGGGGATAAGTGTATGCTTTTGTTCCTGGACATTGTCCCAGACGGTGTGGAAGACAGGCGCAGTCCCCCAGGACTGCCGGGTGGATTGCAACCTGCTACCCATTGCCAAGAAGGGAAACCATGACCAGAGAGCCCAACAGGATTGGTTTCTTGCGGCCAGTCACACCATCCAGCCGCTCACTGACCAAAAACATATCGCCCACAATCTGCGCTAGCGTCACCCACTTCTGTAACAGCACGCTGAGGGCGACATTTCAGTGGTCTTCTTAACTTTGCAGGGATATAATTATGATGTCGAGGCGGTGGAAGCCGTGCCACAGCGTGAGGTTCGAAATGACCTAGACAAGTCGCTGGCTCTAGGTGAGCTAACTGCAGCTATAAAGCATACGAAGCTTGGAAAGGTGAGTGGTTCAACGGGCATATTGCCTGAGATGGTGGTGTGCGGAGGCGAGAACCTACACATATGCTTGCTCAATATCATGGTTGCTGTGTGGCACAGTGGAGATGAAGTGAATGATTGGCGAGATGCTGAGATTGTTCCTGTTCCGTAAAAGGGCAATCTCTGACTCTGTGACAACTGGCGTGGTATCAGCTTACTGGACATTGTTGGCAAACTGTTTTCCCGTGTGATACAAGAGAGAGAGAGAGAGAGAGAGAGAGAGAGAGAGAGAGAGAGAGAGAGAGAGAGAGAGAGAGAGAGAGAGAGAGAGAGAGAGAGAGAGAGAGAGAGAGAGAGAGAGAAAGAGTTTAGATGATTGCCAAGGATGTGCTACCAGACTCCCAATGTGGTATCCGCAAAGGCGGAGGTTGCCACAACATGGTGTCTGTAGCCTGCCAACTCATCGAGAAGTCCGTTGAACAGGATGATCAGTTGTGTGTTCAGTTTGTAGACCACCGTAAGGCATACGATTCCATCCCCCGAACGTGTCTCTAGGCGTTGTGGCACAAAGCCAGTATGCACCCGCGCAAATGGCTCAGCAACTCTACGGCAGTACTACAGACTATCCTGGAGGAGGATCGCGCTAAGGAGATCAACCTCACGAAGGGAGAGCTGCCGAATGTGAAGACACTAGGAATCCTCTGGCTTGCAAAAGAGGACCAGTTCACATTCCAATTGCAGCTATCGGAGATCGGCTCTAACCCAACGAAGCGTGCGTTTCTCAGCGCAACTGCAAGTCTATTTGACCCACTCGGACTCCTCGCACTGTACCTCGTTCAAGCAAAGATCCTGCTGCAGGGGCCTGATCGCAAATCTCCGGGCCCACAGTGTAACGGGAACTCTAATTGACTGGATTTCCAGTTACCTGTGTAACCGGTCACAATGTGTATTAGAAAACGGTACGTTGTCCGGGTCAAAGCTTGTCACGTCTGGAGTGCCTCAAGGTTCAATCCTGGGGCCTCTTCTATTCTTAGTCTATGTGAATGACCTCCCATACGAGATTCTGGATGTGTCCCTGTTTGCGGATGACACTGCTGCCCTTGCCTCGTCGCCGACCTACTCCAGCCTCTACCCCATTGTTCAGAAGATATCCGCCACTACAAATTGGATGCGGAAGTGGTTTCTGCGCCCAAACGTAGATAAAACAGAACTCCTATTCTTTCCATCTCTTCCCGATCCCCTTCCCACCTTCCGTTTCCCCGATTCACCCCCTGCTTCATCATTAACTATTACATCTAGCCATAAGCGTCTTGGCATTGTATTCGATTCTTCTCTATCTTGGTCTGCCCACACTGACCACGTTTTGTCCCGTGTTTCACGTACTGTAGGCATTATGACGTCCCATTTCTCTCACTTACTCACCAGTTGTAGGGTATGTTTTTATAAATCTTACATTCTTCCACTCTTTCTTTATGGATACCCTGCATGGTCTACCATTACGAAGTCCCAACTGGAGAGGTCGGAAATTCTCAACCGCCGTATCCTCCGCATGATATTTAGAACTGGCCGCTACATTTCTAACTCGGACTTGTACAAAATTGCAACCTGTGCCCCCCCCCCCCCCTGCAGAGTTATCTCGATGTTATAATGTGCTCTCTTGTGCACGCAATTTACCTTGGCATATTCCCCCCGCACCTACAGCAACTTAATTGGTTTTTTCGAACTCCCCCACACGTAGTAAAGTTTGTCTCCCTCGAGCTACCACATCTCTGTTTGCATCGTCCCCCTTTTTCAGCTCTTATACTAAATGGCTGGCGCTGCCCCATCATGTCCGTCAGGCAAAGTCGCTTTCCTCGTTTGGCAATCTTGCAAAGCTGCATTTCAACATTCCAATTCAATAGTCAGTATACCTGTTTAGTCTCGGTCGTCTCATGTCGGCTGTACTGCTTCCTTTCCTCTCGGTCGTCTCATGTCGGCTGGACTGCTCCCTTTCCTCTCGGTTGTCTCATGTCGGCTGGACTGCTCCCCTTCCTCTCGGTCGTCTCATGTCGGCTGTACTGCTCCCTTTCCTCTGGGTCGTCTCATGTCGGCTGTACTGCTCCCTTTCCTCTCGGTCGTTGTCTCATGTCGGCTGTACTGCTCCCTTTCCTCTCGGTCGTCTCATGTCGGCTGGACTGCTCCCTTTCCTCTGTTACTTACCACGGTATTGGTGCACCACCACACTTCTCATACTTTCTTTCTACGCCATGGCTGGCAAACGTACCCTCCTCATCTATATTGGCACTGATTCATCTTTAGCCACTGTGTGTGTGTGTGTGTGTGTGTGTGCGCGCACGCGCACGTGCGCATATGTGTGTTTCAGGCAAAATAGTGCGACATGCATAGCGCACCAGTGACCACCATTACCCATCAAACATATTCACATAAAGTGGAACACCCCTGCGACACATTACGTTAACATACATTTGTAGGCCAAACAGCAGCGAGTGTAGGGCTCTCAGAGATGTCGGGCTATCACCCTGTACATGTTCACAGACACAAATACACATGTGTAAAGACACAGATACATACGTGCACACATAACAACAGGACAGAGACACAGGACACTAGAATGTAGCAATCCCACATTGTGTGCGGCCTTCTAAGCATACGGCAGAATCACCGACTACAAAAAAATCACGATTCGCGTGGGAATCGGTTGGATCGAGTTCTCCACATCCCTAGGAACGCCACAACCCTCAAGAATCAAGGTCGAGAGTTACTAACTACTTGGGACAGATTACTACCGATGTTCTGTGGTTACTGATGGGTATGTGGCTTGATGGATAGACTGAATAGCTGAGCGTGATGGCCACAGCTACATTCTAACAATGCCCTACAATCGACTATACCAGATACCTGCACACACAAGTAATGCAAGCATGAACACACAATAGCTGGGGACCGCACGAATTCAGAAGTCCCTGAATTTGGAGGTGTAATGGTGAAAGTCTGAGCAAAGAAGCTGCCACCACCTGGAACCCGGGACTACACACGTCCTCCACACATGACTATGCCACAGTACAAGCAGTGTGCTTTCTGGCACCCACAGTACCACGCGCAGTGTATCACTCAATACTCACCACTTTGACGGGCGATATCGTCCTGACCAGCTGTTCCAACATCACCGATGTGTGGTACGGGTAGTCGCGAATCGATTGCCGAAGAAACGCTTCCATGAACGCTGGAAACCCGTCTTCCTCACGCCCTCGCAATAATCTGAGAAGAAGTAATATTATGAGCAGCAGAAGTGTCCCAAGATACAAGGTTAGAGCACTATGGAAACCCTCATCATCAGCAAGTTGGTCGTATCACGTCATCAAGGCATATACACCTTACATTTTGATCTTAGCATCGATGCTATTGGGGCCAGTGTCGGTGTCCGAAGCCGATGCCTTGGCTGCAAACTGTAGCACCGCACTGATGAGATGAAACTTGATGCTGAGTACTTCATTGACTAGCTCCTTGTACTGCTTCTCCACAAGAAGCTCAATGACAGCTCGAACCTTCTTGACTTCATGGAGCAATTCAGGGTTGCTTTGAATGCAGAACAGTAGCTGAATAATGGAAAAGACAGCAGAGAACAAGCTGTGGATTTTCTAAACACTTCGCCCAAATACGTACGATGGCGAGAAGAACCTTATTAGAGTTTCTATGCAATCCGGAAAATCGTACTTTGATCAGACTTTCCCATTTCGCACCAATACAGGGGGGGGGGGGGGGGGGATTATGGTAAAGGAGTACATGTACATGTACTTTGACTCTTAACGGACTTTGTGTGATGCTGCAGTGCGGTGTGACGTGGGTTGGGCTGTCTGAACATCTAGGAATACAACTTACATTGATTGGATGAATATTGGTTGTGGAGAGGAGCTCGTACAGTGGTGATACCACATACGGAGGCAGCTTTGGTTGTGTCTCCACCCCTGATATAATGCCAGAAAAAAAGGTGAACACAGAAATTTACTTCAAAGTAGAACAATTCGGAATTGCTCGCAGACTTCAGCGCAATTATAATGGTCATAATACTCGTAATTCTCTCTCTCTCTCTCTCTCTCTCTCTCTCTCTCTCTCTCTCTCTCTCTCTCTCTCTCTCTCTCTCTCTCTCTCTCTCTCTCTCTCTCTCTCTCTCTCTCTCTTACACACACACACACAACATGTGCATGCATGCACAAACGAATGCACGCACGCACACACGCACACAATTAGACACGTGACAAGCATTGTCTCTTCATGTAAATATCTGGAAGAAATTTGGCAGGCTTACCGTGTGGTACGGAATAGTAGTCCAGCGTGGATCGTTGAAAGAAGCTGTTTATGACCAGACCAACTGCACTGTGCCCTGTATCAGGTTACACAAGGCAACAAACCAAACATCAACAAAATGACGACCGTCCATTGCACACGGCATACCAGTCAATAACTCCTAATTCACACAGGCCACCTGTCTGCATTGCTGCCTAGCTCTTTTGTTGTTTGGGGGAAATCGTGACGGCATTCTGAATTCTCACTTTTGAATTGCGTTCTTGTCACTTTGCCAGCAATGAGAGCAGCAAAAGCTGCATGTGAAGAAGAACTACATTGTAATTGAGGGTCACCTCACAGCAGTGAAATTGCGTACAAATCGCAACCTGTTATGCAAGCTTCTCCTTCAAATATACAAATAATCCTTAGTACAAAGAGACTGGAGGAGCTTATTCAAGGACAGCTGATGTTGTCGGAAATACGCCACAGAGTGACACCGTACTACACAGTGAAATCGTACTACTAAGTGACATCATAATGCTTTAAATTTCTTTTGCATCTCTTGCACTATGCATCAGGGCAAATAATCACAAAGATACTGTGTAAGGAAAGTGCATGGATTCGCGCTGTACATGCACAGGTGCGTGCTGATGGGCATGCATAAACACAGCCATGCATACATACCAACATGCATACACACATACATGTATACCTAGTACAATACGTACATACATGCATACAAACATACAAACATACAGACATGCATACAAACATACAGACATGTACACCTACATGTACATGTACAGTACTAGCATGCCTGTGTGCACACGTGTACGTTTGTTCAACATACCAATGAACGCAGCCAGCTGTGCGGCGTTGCGGCCAATGTTGTTCTGCTTGTTCGGGTTGGCACCGGCTTCTAGTAAGATCCGTGCCACCTCTGTAGATCCTATTACATCATGCAGAAACATACGAGCATGTCCAACCAACCGAGCACATGTGTGAAACTAATGTACATACACTTAGAATTACAGAGTAGTGGCAGCAAACAAACCTGAACCATTGGCAAGGCATAAAATGCACCAGTCTTCACTCTTCAGTGATGTGTGCGAAAAAGGCCTACTGAAACCCAGGAGCCAAAGAAATACGAAACTGTTCAACTCGACACAGCAAACACCTGCCACGGGTTAGATTGATGCAGGCCTGTTCATTCACAAAAAGCACCTACGGCTTACAGAGTCCTCCCAAACACAACATTCCCCGAGCCCTGTCCCCACAGGGGACAATTCCGGCCATGCCATGCGGCCAGTCACTCATAACAGGTCCTAGTATGTCATCATGCACAGTATGCCATCATGCGCATGTACTGTACACTACAGAGCACAGTGTTGCTGCACAGCACAACACCTAACAGGCATAGCACCAGTGACCTACCACTCATGGCTCCAAACATCAGCGCAGTGTACTGGCCAAGCAAACACAGAAGAACAAGAACATACCGGTAGGTATACTATTCAAAAACGGATAACTCTCAAACTCTCAGTGCACGGCCAGCCATCTCCAGGGCCTACTGCCACACCGAGTACACAATACTTCAGTATGTTCTGACTAACACACTGTTGGACAATATTCTCCATACTAGAAGCGGGCCAGCTCAGCTTACACAGCCGCCGCGCTAGCTCAATTCCAACCTATAAAGTGCCAAGCTGGTGCCCTGGACCAGTTCCTGCTACATCACTGTACGTATATGTAAGCCTAGCCTAGCCTTGTTGATAGATGACATACTTATCAGTGCGTCCTCTGCCTTGTAACATGCTGTCAACCAAACTAATCACCGTACGTATACAAATGTACGTCCAGCACCACTTGAGGGGCGTCAAGAGACGTGCAAGTCCGGGGACTCGCCACATCAGGTAAATCAGCTGGATTAGTTTTTTTTAAAGATGGGGATAGCCATGTACGTCAAGAGCATATGTGAAATCCAGACTTACATACGCACCATAACGTTAGTAGTAGTAGTACCGTAAAGTACCGTTGATCTCCCACCCCCCCCCCCCCATGCTCTGTTGCTTCCCAGCTGGGTTTTTGGCAGGGGGCGGGAATTAGATCAAGGCTGTCATGTGCAGTACGATGTACAACAATGTAGAAGATCAGGCCTGGTGTGCTGAATTGTGCACATTTTCATCCTGCACTGAAACGTATTGTGTACAGCAGTGCATGCGTCGGTTCAACACCGTACTTTATTGTATACACCGAAGTCGCTTCACAGGCAGAAATTCGACAGGGGGCAGATCAACGGTACTTTACGGTAGCGTTGTGCTTACCTACCCCATGTTCATGCTTGCTCCAGTTGACATCTGCCTTGCGTGCCAGAAGCAGCTTGCACGTGTCGACTTTGCCTTTGTATGCGGCATGCATAAGCAATGTCATGCCATCCTGCATTCGTGAAGATACATTAAGAGTATGAGGATGAGAAGAGAGAAAGAGAGAGAGAGAGAGAGAGAGAGAGAGAGAGAGAGAGAGAGAGAGAGAGAGAGAGAGAGAGAGAGAGAGAGGTTTCGCAAGTGAAGGCGGGAGGAAGAGTGAATGCGTTTGTGGGAGAGAGGACTATCACGTCGAGACTACAATTGAAAGCTCAGCCATGGAATCTGCCCAGAACGTCTAGTTAAATACTGCGATGAACTGCAACTCACAACACATACATAGATAAGCAGAAGAACAGACAAGCCCTAAATACCCTTACCAAACAGATTTTCTACCCATACCTCATCTGCACTGTCAATGGGTGCTGGGTTGTCAGCCAGGTGTTTGCGAACATCATCAACCCCGCCTGAGGAGAGTATACAAAAAGTGATGACACAGTCAGAACATCATGCTAATACGTGTACAGGAGATGAAATGGTAGCATCGCACAGGCACGGCAGAGTGACAGTGGATTGGGAGTGCGCCAAAAGAAAACGGGTCGTGCCACAGTTGACAAACTTGTATCATGACCAGTTTTCAGCCAACGATAGGGAGTTTTTTTAGTAGTATATGATAACTTAAATAACTTATCACAAGGATCTCCAAATTCCTCTCCGTTGTTTGAAGGAAGTCATCAGCTTGAGAAAGTTGTAATGGGAAAAGGCTGACGTAGGAGTTGACTGTCACCAGATACGTGGAGGGTAGGGCTGAAATGATTGTACCAACTACTCGGTAATCAATCGATAATTCCTTCACAATCAACTAATAGTTACGTTATGCATTACTCATTACGGATTTTGAGTCCAAAAGTACTGAAACCCCCGTTTTTGTGAAGTTTGAATCAGTTTCTGCTGTGAGTGTGCAGTTGCCAGGGTATGGTATAGTATGGTTCATGTTCTGATGTTCAAATGACTTCAAAACTGCCATGTTTCGGAGCTACCCTTTCACTAATGCAGATATTTGGTATTATGAAGACAAAGCTTGTGGAAACAGAATAATCCGTGCACAAAATTCTGACACTGTTTGCTAACGATTATAATCGATCGTTTAGGTAAAGAGTAATCGATAGGTGAAAATCCACGATCGTTTCAGCGCTAGTGGAGGGTTAATAACTTAATATTATCACGCAAGTAACTAAGTTCTCCCAGCTGCAATCAGCATGCACAATTTATCCTCAGGAATATACCAATAATTAAAAGCAGCACTCGCTACCAGTATCTTGACTTCAGCATCCATGAAACGAATGGAAAGTGAGTAAATTATTTACCTTCCTGGATAACTTTGACAAGGTCGGGTGAAGCAACTGCCATGTCGCTCACTTCTTCTACTAAATTGGATAACTTCTACCCGACTGCATTTTACTTCACTTACTCCAATCGATCTGGTAACCTGCTAAGTTAGTTGAAAAGTTCTTTCATTTTTCATTTTTCTCCAAAACTTCACTCAGTGGAAACGAAGTCAAACGAGTGATTCAAATCAAAATAATTCAAAAGCATTTTCGGTATCGCGATCATGCTGATGACGTCAACGCGTACACGTCATCGTGACTTGGACCGGTTACGGCGACACCCTTCCCCTTCATTATTTTCTGAGCCACCCAAGTCCAGTGGCAGTGAGTCGGGTGCCGGCGGGTGGTTGTTGTTTCGCGTTGTCGAAATGGGGTTGTAGACGGCAACGGTCCCGTCCCGTTATCGTACCAAGCCAGCATTCCATTGTGCCAGGGAATGTAGCTTGTGGACTACAGGCGCGTCGGAACGACTTTGGAGGTGGGGCGGCCATGGAAGGGGGCGGGGGGTGGGGGGGGTCCTCCCCCGGGAAAAAATTTCAAAAATTGAAGCCAATTGCAAGCATTTCCGGGCATTTGGTGCCATTTCAGTGTACGGTAACTACAAATTACAATGAAAGACTTTTTGATTCTGCAAAAAACCAAGAAGATGCTACGATCGGGGACAAACATTACCCTCCCCCGGGAAAAAATTCAACAATTGAAGCCAATTGCAAGCATTCCCAGGCATTTGGTGCCATTTCAGTGTAGATCTACATGTACATGGACTTTTGATTCTGCAACAAACCACGATCGGGGACAAGGATTTGCCACGTTTGCGCTGAGATCATCGCGCTTTGTTGCAGTGTGCTAAAAAAAAAAAAAAAAAAAAAGCCGAAAAAGTGGGGCGGCCATGGCCGCCCCGGCCGGTGCGGTTCCGACACCCTTGGACTACCTTGCCGCACCCACCAGATGCACTGAATACCAGTGGGAGAAAGGAAGCATGCTCCACCTCCCTGACGCGTTCTTCGTAGGTCCTTCTCTTCTGCTGTTCTTGCTTGGCATAGGTGGACGCGGGAGTTGAGGGAGTGTTCGAGCGCGCATGAGGGTTAAAAACCCGAACATCACAGAACGTGCGCTTAAAACGACTTCCCCAGACACCGGATGCCGCCACATCAAGACGAGCACCATCTTCCAAGATGGCAGAGCGATACCGAAGCCTTTCACACTCCAAGGGCTGCAGAGGAGACTGATGATGTTGACCATGGTTGACGAAGAAGCATGTTTTGAATAGAAGCATGGTTCGAACCCCGGCTTATACGGCCGTGAGCACTTGCTTTTATACGCGGCATTACGGCAGGTGAAATAAAATCAAGATTACAGATTGCTCTCTCTATCTCTCCCCTCCCTTCCTGCAAATTACGGTACATACAATCATGTACATGTACACATATTGTTGGTTGACAGCATGTAACAAGGTGGAGGACACCGTGTTCGGAAACAGTGACCTTTCTACAACCATCCACGGTTGGTAGAGCCCCGGTCTTGCGACCATCTGAACCGTATGGGTGTTAGTACCGATTCTGACCCTCTGTATTCTAGGGAGTTGCCTTAGACTTCTTGTTGTTGAACCGTCAGTCGAGTATTCTTTGTTCGCTCCTGGATGTCTTCTTGATATTCAGTCCTCATAAGCTTAGTAGCTACTGAAGGCTACCTTCTTGCCAAAGCATTTGGAATTTGGACTAGTTTCGGCTCCACAATCCAGTGTGTCGTTTCATGGCTGAGGTTGTTGATTTGTCTGTTGGATCTGAGTTCCCAGTACTCAGAGCCGAGGCTCCAATAACTCCAATTTCACTTCAAGGTACTAGTGCATCTAGTGTCTGCTTCTATCAAAGCAGCGTGCTGTCTATACTGATTACCCCAGCAAGTATAGGGTGTGCATAGGTAACTGTCTTGGCCGTTCTATGCCGATGTACTCTGTGTGGTGTAGACCAGGTGAATTGGTGGTCGATTCACATGGCTTCGCAGGTTGTGTGGATTGGGCAGTTATCTGGAGCTAGTCTTGGTCTGTCTCATTCAGATCTTGTCCGCTATCGTTGCTATGAGAGAAAATCTGTGGGTGCACATCCAGTGCATTTGCAGATTTACGTGTTTCTCTTGCGACCGGCGTATATACATGTATCGTACATGGTGTGTGTGTGTGTGTGTGTGTGTGTGTGTGTGTGTGTGTGTGTGTGTGTTGAACCATGTCCGGAATTGTGACCTCCGTAAGCGTTGGGGGATGAGGATCTGGTGTCGGACACTATGCGTCGTCGCCGCCTCCAGTGGTTGGGCCATGTAGCTCGGATGCCTGACAACCGTCTCCCTAAGCAGTTGCTGTTTGGATGGCTTGACGCTCCCCGACCAGCTCAGGGACCTCGTCTTCGGTGGAAGGACAGAATACAGTCAGACATGAAGCTGTGCCAAATTGATGAATGGTTTACTCTGGCCCAGGATCGTCAGCAATGGAGAGATGCGTACCGCACTCGTGTGCAGCGTCCTGCCCCGGTACCGCTCTCTTGCCTGGTGTGTAAACGGATATTCAAGAGTAAATCTGGACTCGGACGACACAAATGTTCTGCTGATCGCCAGCTGCCTGTAGCGGAACAGCCGGACGCACGTCAATGCCATGCCTGCCTTCGGTGGTTCCGAAGTGCCGGTGGACTTGCTGTGCATAAGTGCACAACACCCGCCCCGGCATCACCGCCCACACCCCAGCGCATACCAATCACCAGCCATCCGTGTTGCAACCAGCACTGCGCTACCTGTGATCGCTGTTTTAAATCTGCTCCTGGCTTTCGGCGACACAATTGCAATCGTGGACGGCGTCGTGGCGGAGCGGCTTCCTAGTGGCAGTGCTGACTTCTCTCGAACTCTCTCTTCTACTCTCCCAGGGGCGTAGCACCCGCTGCGACTGGTACGACCATGGCCGTACCACTTTTCGAAAAGTGTGGTCCGTCCGGAACGTACAAAACCGTAAAATAAAAAAATCTGGATACATCGACTCATATGCGCATCAGACTTTGACCTTTCTCTAGACTCGTAACGTTACTCGTAGATCTGTTATGCATCTGCAGTCGTACTGAGTAGACTACTGTACTCGACTCGACTGCACACTGCGCCAGACGTGTGCCAGAAGTTCCCAGAACGCAGGATTTTGTGTCTTTTTTACAAAATTTTCCCGGGGGAGCCCCCCCCCGCACCCCCCCCCCCCTCCGACACGGCCTTTGGCCGCACACACCTTCGGTCGTACCACTTGCAAAACTCCTCCTACGCCCCTGTCTCCCCTGTCTCGGGGGCGGCGTGGCCAAGCATTTGGCAGCTGTACACCAGGGCAGGTGTGCGTGGTACATGGTGTGTGTGTGTGTGTGTGTGTGTGTGTGTGTGTGTGTATAAAATAAAATAAAAATGAAAAATAGGGATTCACTGGCCAGAAAAAGTCACTTCAATCAGCTGTGTGGTGGATACCAGGCTAAAAATTAGTGGCGGTCAATTCATCAGCCTTGCAAGCTGTTGAATGGTGTAATCCCAGCACAAGTAAAGTTGCTATGTCTAACATACATGTAGCTGTTCGCTATCATCGCTTCCGCGATGGGCATGTCTGAGGTCTGAGGTGTGTGTATGGAGGGGTGATGACTTATTTCTTTCTTTGAAACTACCGTTAACCTATAGATATCAGTCTTATCAGATAAGACTCAGAGACTTGATGCCGAAGTAAGATCCATAAGCCTACCTAACCCTCTACTAAGGCTCTAGCCGTGTGGGCCGTATACATGTACGTAGATCTACTACAGTACTACACTCACACTCACCCCAGATACGGACGCACCTGCGTGCACCCCCTTGTCACGACCCCAGCGCACCTCCTCTCCGCGTGCTGCACCTGCTACAGTGCTAGCTGTCTGTCTCTTGCCAGTCGTTTGGCCCGTCAAGCGTGACCAATATCAGCTTCTCTGGGCATACCTGGCACAGTCGGATGTTCAGAAGGTGGCCTCGTCGGACAGAAGTGACCATCACATGACCGTCACGCTCGCGTATGTGGGAGTTGGGGACGAACTGTCCAGCCGCGCTCGCTCAACTTACTTAGAGAGAGAAGCCCCATCAACCAAGATATTTTCTCCACTGCTCTGGATACAGCATGGCTGTTGTTTACTGCTTTCACGACACGGTCATGTGTTTGTCTTCTGAGCTCTCCGTCACTTGCGACCCGAACCTTGGCGAGAAGGTGCACGGCGAATTGGCAGGTAAGGCCCTTGCTGTCTCGAAACGTTCACAGCGGCTGCTAAGCGCTGTGGTTTTAGGCTTTCAACGTGTAAACAAGGCTAACGCAGCGTAGATCTACAGCCGAGGGGTACTCTGATCTTGGGAGCTATGGGTGGGAGCGCTTTGGGCGGCCAAACTTATCGCTGCGCTTGGATGATCCAGCTCTTCCTCTAGATCCAGAAACTATTTCAGTGAACTTGCAAACGCTAAACAGGCAAGAGGTCCGAGGAGAAATCCGGAAGCGCACAAGGGAGGGATAGTTCGCTACTCACTATCACGTCACTCTTGACTTGGCCTTAGGTAGGAAAAAGTAGTTAGAGATCAGTTCTTATGCACAGCGGTTTGGAAAGAACTACCCCACGCTCTGGAATTTACTGGTGAAAAATTGAAAAAGAAAATGCACGAAACTCAGTCTTCTTGAACATCTCTCACCCAGTCAGTGATCGTGTGGCGAGCAAGCTGAACTCAGCCTGAAGTAGAGGCTCAATCCGATGATATGAACTACACTAAGTACTTTGAAGTATGGATCGAGGTAGATCTACTATACAATGTTGTCCTGTACTGATCTACCTCCAGCCCAGTGTTGTCCACTACTAGACTGAAGTAGCTGAGATAAAAAAAAACTAAACAATCATGATTATGTACAAATCAGCGCTGCTGCTGCTGCTCTGAGCTGTTGATGTATTCATTTCAGAGTGTTCTCACTGGTGTCCAGTATCAATGGCAGGGAAAGTCTGAGAAAGAATGACTGACTTGAGAACCTACTCCCAGGGCCGCACTGCGGCACCCAGGCCGGCTGGACAGTTTGCTTTGTGAAAAAAGACCCACCCCATTTGCGCAAAGCGGGTTTTTCGTCAATACTGTTCATTTCCGGTCGAGTAGTCTACTTGGCCGAACCACCTGAAATATTGGTGCAACGCGGCCCCGACCCCAATAGCCAGGTCCCTTGAAACCAAGAAACTTCATTGCTGTTGGAAAAGTATTTCAGCGTGGAAAATACACAACAGTGTGTCTGGCCCGAGGGGGAGGGGGAAGGGGGCAATTATCAATACACCATACCATGTCTTTTGACAATATTTACAGAAAAGGTTTCACATAAATTATAGACAACGCAAGCCAGCTGCGCACACTTCAATACAATAAGAGAACGCCTTGCCCAGGAATTTGCCATGATATAGCTCTAGCATAGGCTGATATTGTGGTACACTGCATTAGTACGTATCTATATCTGAACAAGCGTGATGAGAGGAGAAATAACTAAACTTCGAATGGAGCAGAACATAGTCGCGGGAGTATAGAGATGAGGAATGCTCTCGCATATGAGAGAGAAAAACGGGTCACGATAACCTTCAAATTGGGCGGATAATAACGCACTGTGATGTCAATAATAGTCATCTATCCGGGAGTAAACTAGGACAAAGCGGTAACTAAGAACACCACAAATTGACTACGGAGTTAACTACACGACTGAAATTGTTCTGGTCACGATTGGTCAGAAAACTAGTTTTTCTAGTGGAGCTGCAGGGAAAAGACGGTACTAAATAAACAAGGCCGGTGCAGTATATGTACTCACTGCATTGAAAGCTGCAAAATAGGATGTAACTAGCCACTACCCACCGGCTTACTTCACAATATCAAAGAGTGTCGCGGTCAATGACGGCCGCTTTCCGGGTTCGCGATCCATTGAATGACAGGCTGTGCTGGCTGGATGAATCCAGCGCGCACCGAATGCACTCATCCCTACGGGTTCTTGAAGCCTCTTGTGTGTATTCTCATGCAACTCTTGCAAAGAAGCTGCTTCTGGTAGGCCTTGCTGAGCTGAAGCTGCAAACAACGCAGGAAATAGCAGCCCAAATACAGCATTTGAGAAGCCAATCCCAGGATATCAAGAGAACATAGTGCAGGCCTCCAAATAATACTATGTGCCAAATAGGGTGTAGTGCCCGTCAGAAATGTGAATCTGATCAGCACAATATTCGGCCTACAACATTACGATGAACGAGCTTACAAACAGTTCTGTAGTGGAATTAACGATGTGGTCAAGGCGATTGCACTGTACTTCTGTTGGTGGCTAGTAGTAAGCATGATCAGGTGATCTCTGAAGTAGCCGGCAGATTGCATATTGGCCCAGCAAGATTGGCTTTTGAATCCAAGGAAAATATCCGATCTTGAGAAAGGGAAAGAAAACCAAAAAGGCTATAAAGCAGCACATGATGGTCACTTACCGTAACGGAGCACTGGATAGGCTTCAGTAACAGAATGGCCACCGCTACTAACCAGAATTGTATCTTCGAGGTCACCACATCTGCAAAATACATGTGGTAGAAAAAAAGGAGTGCAAAAATCACCAAAAGCCATATACAGTGCCACCAACATGAAAAATACAATCTGTTCTGGATTGAGTAGTCGCCACCTACAATACGGCTACATCATCCCACATCAAGGACAGGCATGCAGCGATCCCTGTTAGTGTCATCTCCCCTGGGGAGCTGAAGGTTATTCCCGTGGCTATGCAAAAGACCGTTACTTCAGTAATGTCTGGCGCTAGCCAGGGTCCACACAGCATTAATTCCGTGTTTGTTTGTTTGTTTGTGGAATGTGGGCAACGTGTATACACTGCACCGTAGCAGCACCTCTATTGGCCACTACCCACGTTTCATCGATAGTGTCACTGCTAACATACGTTTTTTGTTGTTTCTGTTTTCGTTTCAGGTGCATGCAACAACGGCATCCCAGCCACGCGTCAGCCCGTGCCACACCGGTGAATGTTGTCAACATTCTTCTCATGGCTTTGTGGCCGCACCACGGAATCCAGACAACATGAAGCTGGACTTACCCTCTAGAATCTGAGACAGAAATGCTGTGAAGTCGTTAAAGCTTGATGCGTGTGTGGTGAAGAACGCTGCGATGTTCCGAAGTCGGTTTCGGATACGTTTCAAGTAGAGCGTCCACATGGATTCGGCGTACGACCGCACCTTCTGCACTCCTGAAATAGTACAAGAAAGGAAAGATGCCACGGGAGGATTACAGGTGAGATCTAATCAGATACAGTTAGCACTGATCTTGTATGCCACTCTTCAAGCTCTAGATCGAGCAGCTTCATAGAGTTAAAAAGGCGTGGGGTGATCCCCGTTCTTATGTTCTTGACCAAAACACCATTACCTGCCGTCAAAACTAAGAACTCTAGCACGAATGTGTGGTGAAAAGCTGGCTCCTCAATATGCCCTACAGTCCTTCGTCACAAGTACATGTCTGGTGAAGACTAGACATCCAGACCAGGATACACATCTCACAAACGAATAATCTAAATATCACAACAAGGGTACCTGAATTCAACAGCATGCACTGTCCTCAATTCGTCACAAGAGAAAGGAAACAACAAAACAAAGCAGTACAATCGCATGCACTTACCTGCAAAGAAATGCCGTTGCGACAGTGACTGTATGTCATAGAATCTCTGCTGCACCGGCGTGAACTTGTGCATTGCCCGTCTCACTTGTCGCGCTACATCGAACGACAATCTACGTAACAGGCACACCGATCAACACATGGCACACAAACACATCAGCATGCAGGTGCATCTACTACGCTGTTCTAAAGGCGTAACGGCGATTTGTCTAAGGTCGGTGACCACATCGATAGTATTTGCCGCAGACAGTGCACAAGCTGACTCGGGTGAGAACCGTGGTTCTGGCGCAATCTTCCCGGCACGTAGTCCATTGGAAGATTGGCACCGCCGAGTAGGCTTTGCGATGCAGAGCACACTGTTATGAGACGCTTTCCCCACGATGAGATTCCGCTATCACAGGTTCAAATGTCAATCACTGGTACTGCAACTGCATCAAGACGGACATTCCAATCTGGTTACAATGTACGCCCAGTGTAAGACAATGTAAGTGAATCAAATCAAATCCATTTGCAAAGGTGCCCTGAAGCAATAGATGTACAATCATATACAGTCAAAAAAAACCTGTCACGGTTTGCCCGACCCTGTACCAAACGGAGTCCTGCATTGACCGGACAAATTTTCATGCACCAAAGTGCTGTGGTTCGAACGTTCACACACATGATCCCTGGACCAAGCAGAATCCTGTCATGTTAGGGCAGTTTCCGCTGAACCAAGGGCGTCCGGTTAGAGCAGGTTCAACCGTTGTACTACTGTACATGCACTGGGCACTGTGTACAACACGCCACAGAGCACACGCTATGACAAACGTCTCTGCGAGAATGTAAGCAACCCTGCCACAATGCAACTGTACGACTACGAGACGGAGACACGGATCTACTCAACGGAACTCCTCGCGTGCAAGTGTGATTTATTCGTCCAGCGATCTGGCACAGATTGACCAGACAATCCGGAACAGAACACGGCTTACATACTCCACGACTCGAGAGACTATCTGAACCAGCCGACATCCTTCCGACCGCCACCTGCGACCAGATACGTTTTACGCACTTCCTTCACCTCTGCAACTGGGATCTCTAAACACCCAGCACTCAAATTCGCCCACAGATCTATGGACTTTGAAGGAGTGTACACTCGACCACTGTGCTACGATTGACTGTACTTACGACATTCCCACTTGAATCAGCTTCTTCTCATTCGTGGCCGCAAAGTATCCGTCGGTCATGACCCGAACAAACGCTGGTCCTTGCCTGCAATGAAGGATTGGAAACCAAAAGAGTGATAAATATAATGAAATACGATCATTGCCAGCACTTAGCACTGGTGAAATGCCCTGTTACGAGACAGGCGTTGCATGACCGACGAGGACTGAGAACTGTCCTCTAACAATAATTCGTAACAGTTCGTAACAATAGAACAGGGCAACAAAAAGAGGTCAAGGAAAGAGGAGTCTCACCTGAAGATGCAGATAACGTGAACTGGAACGCGTGCCGCCTGCAGCGGTACGGGCATACCCGACGCGACTTGCTTCGGATGCCAATAGTACGCTTTGCGTTCATCTCCCACTCTGTCGCTGATCGCTTCATCAACCTCGGTGTACAGGTACGGCGGAAGGCGCTCGTACAGATGACGACCCCAGAACTTCTCGTAGTATTCGTGAGCGGAGGCATTGCTAGAAAACACCTTGTACACCAAATGGACTTTGCCAGGCAGTGTCCCAGGTTCCTGCGTGTCCTTGTTCAGGTCCCAGACGCTCTGTCCGCACGCTTTCCCTTCGAATTTGGAGAAGTACACATCTTGTCGAACGCCATGACCGTCGCAGTTGCGAGTCCATTTCAGCTTCGAGTTGCAGCGCAGTCCTAGCGTCTGCATGTGCTTGCTGGCCAGGACATAGTCGTTGAGTTGCACGCGAGGCACGCTCATCGTCAGAAAGCTTATGATACACACAGCTACGATAGCCAAGGAGACGGACACCATGACCCAGCGCATTCTCGGGCCGCAGCAGCAACCGGCAGTTTTACGAGCATGGTGGTGGCCGCTGCCTGCACGACCCTTGCGAGATGTGCCATTGAATTTCATCGTGAAGCGCGTCGTGTCCACGGAGAAAGAAAAGCTGAAAGAAATGACCAGACGCACACGATTGTGACTGTCTTTCTACTGAGTTTCTAGTGTGATAAACTGAAGACGGGAATTTGCAAATGAACGCTGACCCTGCCTCAGCCCCCAGGTGGTAACAACACGACTGTGCTCGCCTTTTCCTCTTTGTTACACCGTCTACCGGACAACACTAAAATTTGATACCCGTCGAAATACGCATTCAAAGACGCGTAGATCTACACCAGTCTGCTGCATTCAGTATGCTGGATGTATGGATTTATGGAGTATGGTTGCAGCTGTATCAGTGTACATGGTGTATGCCGTGGTCGAGGCTACATGGTAGGCGTAAGTAAGTAGACGCATCCTTCGGAAACATGGCGTTCACGTGTAAAAAATACCGCATCTCGCTTGATCTTCCACCACGCGCGCGTGTAACGGTGCCATCGATCGAGCCATGGGCATGGACAATCAATGCATTATGCGCATCGACACGAGAATCGTATCGTCGACGGATACATCAGCTCATGACAGTGGTCGCAAGAGTTCGCCCGTTTGGGATCGAAAACGTGCAGAGCGTTGCCCGCCATGCCATGTCCTTTGTGCCTCGTGTTGCGAAGGTCCAAGCGTCGCGGGAGCAAGATCCTACCATTCGTCCGTCTCTTCGCACGTCTTTTCTTCAGAACACGATGATGCGATGACGCCCGTGCTTAGCCGCGGTAGATTATTGAAGGGGTCAGAGCCATGTGGAACCCCACATTGGCACATGTTCGCTGCAACCCGAGACGGAATCATTTCCAGCGCCGGGGCGGGCTAGTAATGACACGCGGAGACAGCGCTGCAGCACGGGACCGCCTTTCGAGGAGTGGAAATTCACGTGCATGCAGCAGGGCGTCGACAGACAAATATGCGGACAGGATGGACATGCAACAACCTACGTCTGACTCTGAGCACGCGATGGCGAACAGGGAAAGTCGTACTCACGCATCCGGAAGATGAGACTGTCCTTGTGCACGATGTGCGATCATGGGTAACCTAACCCAAACCGAAAATATCCATTTGTCTCATTAAATTCTCGTTAGCATTAGGCTGGTGTGTAGTTTCAATCACCCTCCATGCTCCACATGAAAACGGAGAGCATCCTGGATCATTTTGTTTAGGTGACCTCGGAGTGACAGACACTACACACACGTGTATCACGTTCCAAGTCACACGCACACGGTTCCATGGGCACAATTCGTGATGAAACCGTGGATGAGTTCAAGTGTTAACGTTACCTTGGGAACAACCGTTCACTTTCAAGCATGGCGGATAGATTGTATGCGTATGAATATTCCCATGAACACTTCCCTGTGTATTAGTATAATTTTAATAGCATACGTCTGGGTAGATAATGATACGGTAAGTAATAGTTTGCAACTCAAAACCAGATGGGCTAGAAGCAGACAGTGTGTAGTATATCCTATGTACATGCAATGTACCACAATCATGTAGTCTAGAATTTCACATGCAATAATCAGCATCACAGTGGAAAGTAAACTACGGTTGTTATCACTGGTTGTGTGATGTCGATTAGTGGTTGGGGAAGGAGGGGAACAACATCACATATACGCATTGCATGGTCATTGTAGGCCTGTTATGACTTGTGTGAGTATGTGCCTGGCAGTCCTAACAGCAGAGTATTATGTAAACTGTTTGCGAGTACATGCCCAGTGCAGTGCCGGTATGCTCGCGTGTTGCCTCGGGCTGCTTGCTATGGGCCACCGGTCCTGGCTACTTGTGTTTACTGCTTGCAGCACGAGCTACGTGGACAGTGCCTTTGCTTGAGGTGTTTCTAAGACAGACCACTGCATCATTTGCCTTGGCAAAGTGCCCACAAAGATTCTGCTGTAAACCGCAACAGACGGCCAACTCTCGTTTATTTATCTATTTCAAACTTTTCTCTGTGCAGACATGACAAGGAGGAACAAGAGAGCCTGGTCATGCAGTGGAAGCGATGAATGGATACCAGTCATGGCTGACACCGAGGGATACCAGAATGGGATGCGCGGGGATGGCTGGACAATATGCACTTTCTCTGCCAGAACCACCGAGCATCATGCTGGTGGGCAAGGTTCGTCTACAACGTGGCGCCTGCGGCTAGCAGAAAGACCTCTGCTAGTGTACCGTTGCAGCAACGCCAGACGGTCCTGTAGTTGTGCGGACACACAACAGCGTACTCTACTAACATACACAGTATACGGGTGGAAATGTGCAGAAGTCGTGCAGCGTTCAACATCCGCACAGTACGGAGAAAACTCGAAAACATGTCCAACAGCTGTCGCCCGTGACCTGACGGGTTTGACGTTTGAACAATGCATAGTGCCGTGTAGTATAGCTGCAGGAAGAATGTCATTCTGGAACCGTCGCATTCGGCCACCCATGCTACCACTAGTAACTGCCCATGCAGCTTGTCAAGCAGCAGAGAGCTACAAGTACACTGTAAAGTAAGAACAGCAGCATGCCATACTGGATACATGTGCTGATGCAGTCAGTACGGACAACCAGTTACCTGGTATCATGCACTCTGGCTACAAGTGCCTGTTTGACCTGTCGCTGTCAATACCAAACACTGCCTGTCAACACATTTATGGACGCGTGCAGCCCCCTGGCTATGCCCAGTGGACCAATGATCTGCCAATGTCATCCACTGACGAAGCGGTTTTCAGGACCAGGGTTCACGTGGTCCAGTGTGCTTTGTCACTGATTGTTGCGGGCCATGCGTGCATGCACACGCATAGCATTTGTGCCACATGATGCACGAGAGATTAACACAGTTCAGCTTGCAGTCCCGCGTGGTCATCGTAGTGTGCAAGCTTTGAAATCACCCATGTCCACGTGTAGCATGCGAGGGAAGCTGTGTTTTCTCCACAAGGCCACTGTGAGTAACTCTTACAGAATAAAGTATGTGTGCAGATCCAACTCAAGCTCACTTTCTAAGTCGGTTGTACTGCACGGAGCCTTCGCTATGCACCACATAACCTGAACAAACCATGATTACACTGCATGTTTTACAGCCCAGGTCTTGAAATGATCCATGGGTGCAGTGTGTCAAGGCTACATGTGTGCCAGTCATGCTCAGCTCCGTGTGATGTGCTTCTGCTTGCCGCATGACTACATCATGCCTTGTAGTGCCACTCTGCACTGGCACAGGACTAGCATGGCTATGCTTTGCAATGTCATCATTGCTACACAGTAATCCAGTTGGCAAACTATAAACTGCCAGGATATGCCCTTGCAGGATCCCAGTGCACACAGTATCCTAGTTGTGAGTTGCTGGTGCTAGCGTGTGAAGAGTGTGCTTTGGACCGGCAATGCCAGCTGTCCATGACTAACCTGGTGCACATGTACAATTGGTCAGGTGCTAGAGCCTGCAGGAATGAGAACAGCTGCAGTTGCAGATGAACTATCGCACTCGGGTGATACCCCCCCCCCCCCCTCCCGCACCCTCATATCAATCCCTCCTGCCTCGCAGCCGGGATTGATATTCACTGGTATCACCATCGTACTCATGCAATATTCTCTGCGTACCATATACCATACTGTGTCCTACCTCTTTATGGCATGGTTTGGATAGTACGGTTCTAAGTTGTGCTTCAAGGTGCACTCATACCAAAATTCACGACTGTCGGATCAATGCCACATGCTGCGCCACAGGCCTGTAGCAACACATACACACACACTCAGACACAGACTCAGACATGCCCATCGCGGAAGCGATGGTAGCGAACAGCTATGTTAGACAGGAATAATTTAACCGGTATCGCATCGCAGTTTGCTATGGAATTCTTCTGATTTGCAAAGCAACTTCAAAAATGTGTTGCAGACAACTGCGATGCATATTGTTTTTTCACTGTACCCTATGATGCACAGTGTACATGCCGGGTGTGTCTCTTAGGGATAAAATAGATGTACGAAACTTCGAAAGTGCTGTGCTATGCATCCTGGCACCAGGATAGGCTTGCAACTAAGGTGTTACAGTGTACTTGTGGTCTGAGCTTGCACTCTGATCAGCTCTGCAGAAGGACAATGTTGTCAAGTGTTGAAGAAAATTGCTATGCAACATTTTCGAATTGCTATTCAAGTTTGATTTTGTGTAGCAAAATTGCTATGCAAACGATTGAAAGTAAATTATTCCCTGTTAGACATAGCAACTTGTGCTGGGATTACACCATTCAACAGCTTGCAAGGCTGATGAATTGACACACATACACATGTGCACACACACACACACACACACACACACACACACACACACACGTGCACACACACACACACACACACACACACACACACACACACACACACACACACACACCATTTGACCTTTTGACACCCATCGCCAGAGGCGATGATAGCGATGCTACGGAAGAAGCCATAGCAACTTGTGCTGGGATTACACCATTCTACAGCTTGCAAGGCAGAATAATTGACCGCCACTATTCAGCCTGGTCTACACCACACAGCTATGAAGTGGCTTTTTCTGGCCAGTGAATCCCTACTTGTTGGACTTTTCAACTCGGATGGTGAGCCAATTACATTATGGTGAAAAAAGGAGAAAGCCGGTATGTCCAATAGTCTTACTAGTTTCGTCATCATCCAGTAACTTTCGGCATTCTTTGTTGCCGTGATGCGTAGCTCGTGCTCTTCTTCGTTGCGCTTTCCTTCCCCTCTTGGACCTTTCCGAACCTGAGCCTTCCAAGTTGGAAGGTTGTTGGTTTGCGCCATGGAGAAGTGTTGGAGCTAGGTGTCAGGTCTCCGAATGTCTCAGTACTCCTTGTCAGTTTTGTGCCATTTTGTCGCACTCGCTGACCGTATAAGATCTGGTTACGTTGGTGGACAGTTAAGTCATAACTCGCAACATTTTTTCCTTCTCCTTTTTTGTTTGACTTTTTTCATTTTATACACACACACACAACTGCGTGTACGGGCGCATACATATAAAGCATGCAGAGTTCTGCTGCAAGAAACAAAAGAAATAGGCCTCTCCATGTTTCCCTGCACTTTGTATTACTGGACAACTCAAATACATGTACAACGCGCACACAGCAACACAAGTGTGCAGCACACCGTGCAATAACTATGAAGTGCGGTGTACAGTCATACCCACATTTACAAATGCACTCGTACAGCTAGAGCTAGTTACGCAGGCGCGTAGCCGGCAGTGTTTCCAGGTTTCCCGGAAACCCCCTCCGGGGTTGCTTCATGTGCACTAACTAGCTGGACAACTACTGAACTATGGTCATTGTAAAACTTCTCTTTCACGTTAGGTTTTACAATTTTTTTAGATGTGAATGAACCACGACATATTGACAGTGCATAAGTAGTAACTTGTAGTGTAAAGCCACAGATTGGGCCTCTTAGGAGCTTGGAATTTGTGTTTGCGTGGGCCGGTGGATGCCAATCTTCGGTCTTCGGCTGAGTGCTGGTGGATTATAAGGGAGGTTAAGTTCCACGTAATCTGTGTGTACTTTACGTGTTTGTACCTCGTGATACTCAGTGACTCACAGACAGTTTTCTGATTCAAGATATACCGTGAATGGAGGCTCACACACGTTCCGCCAGAACGGGAGTGCCAGATCAGAATGGAGTGCATTGTGCAAGCGGTGAGGGTGCTCAACTGAAGAAGTCTCCGAAGCACGAAATCCAAAAAATTATTCAATGAGCATAATAACTCGTACATGTATGCTTCGAAGCTTTGTCTTCTCTTTTGCTTGTATTTTGTGGTTGTCGCATGAAAACTTTCTTGTCGTTCTTGATTCCATGTGAGGGCTCACAGGGAAAGAGGAATGTGGTGATACTCACAGAGAAAAGGGAATGTGGTGATACTGTAAACTGCCTAATATTCGCGACGGATTAATGTTCGCTATTTTCACGAGAAGAGCGTAACGCGAATATTAACCAGCTTGAAATCAAGCTTCAACAGTAGGTGTGTGTAGGTGGCCCCTGTGCTTCGCGAACTTTTGCCATCGCAAACTCGCTGGTTCTAAAGAAATCGCGAAACTTTAGTGACGCGAATATTGGGCGGGTTACAGTACTTGGATTCAGATAAAATACAAATCAGGTACATGTAGACGTGCTGAAAAATCAAAAAGCGTATTATGCCTGATGGCTTGTCATGAAAAGCCCTCCGAGGCACAACACATTCGAAGCCATCCAACCCAGAATTGATACAAAGACGAAGCAAGCTTCAACTTCGAAGTGCTTTCGTTTTTTTCCCTGAACCCTTATCCATGTTTTCGTTTGTGTCCCAAAACAAAGTGTTTACTTTTCTTGTTTTCACAAGTTTTGAATCCGTGTGACTAAACACAACATTGCGAACATGAATCCACTGCATGAACTTTATGCGTATCACCCACATTCGCGTAGCCGTTACGTGTACCGTAAAGTACCGTTGATCCGCCCCCTCTCTAATTCCCGCCCCTGTCGATTTTCTACCTGTGAAGCGATTTCCGCATATACAACGAAATACGATGTTGAACCGACGCTTGCACTGCCATACACAATGCAGTCAAACCTGTCTAAGACGACCGCTCAAGGGACCTTCAAAATGTGGTCTCTGTTACCAGGTGGTCTCCGCGGCCTTATCCAGGGTCATTTAGCTGCAAATGGCATCCCTGGGTCCTGGATACAGTGGTCTTCTGAGGCAGGTGGTCGCCTTATCGGAGTGGTCGCCGTGACAGGTTTTACTGTACGTGCCAATAAATAAAATAAATAAATCCGACGGGGTTCGCGTACCGGGCAGGTCCAGAACAAGGAGTCGTACAACTCCCTGGTCAAGAACCACCTTTCCGCTTCCGTGGGACGCCACCACCCCATGATCAGGCGTCAGATGCGGCTCCTAAACGGTGGGGGAGGATAGATCAGATCCACCAACCAGAGGCCAAAGGCCTCGATCCCATTTGCCACATCCATGTATTACTCATGCCAGGCCACGAGTTCCCAATTAACTGTGGGTCGCAGCACGGTTGGAAAAAATCCTTCCGCTTCCAAGCAGGACTTGAACCTAGTACCTCTCGTTTCGCAATCATGGTCTTAGACCAACCCACTGTGCCTGCCTGCTATCCAGGATGAAAATGTGCACAATGCAGCACATCGAGTCTGATCCTCCACGTTGTTGTACATCGCACTGCACTTGACAGCCTTGATCTAATTCCCGCCCCCTGCCGAAAACCCAGCTGGGAAGCGACATGGCGTGGGGGGGGGGGGGGTCAACGGTATTGTACGGTAGCTAAACCTCCTCGATCCTTACTATTAGTTCTTTTCAAGTAAATCGGCTCTTGTTTGGAATTATTTACCAGACGACCTGAAGTCCTGCACTACTATCGCAGATTTCCGCGTCAACTTGGCTATTTGGCTAAAGCAGTAAAGGACAGCTTAACCCTTAATCATTGTTGTGATTTGCTTTCAAGCAATGTGCATAATCAGTAAATTGATGTTGCTGTTTTTTGTTTTTTTGTTTTTTTGGTTTCCCGTTCTCGGGGCCTTCTAACTTATTCGGTACTCTTTGTAGTTGTACTTCTGTACTGTTGAGCTATCCGAATTCAAATAAACATAAAAAATATATATAAAAAAAGTATTATGCTTTGCCATGCTGCACAGCCTGAGCGCCAGCATGGCACTCATAATAATTATACCATACTGTATCACCAAGACTCAAGAGTACATAACCCCTGGCCTGGGGTTTACTCAATCTGGGGTTATGTGCCATTGGTGATACTCTCATCTGTGCTGTGCGCATGGTGCACTGCAGAGTGCAGTGGGCAGAGGGTTTCTACCGGTTCGTCCATTGTACCACGAGGAAGGTACCGGTATACGCGTATACGACTGCATTGCAGTGGTACGTGATTACCGTAAATCTACTACGAATCAGTACGATGTTTACTGGTTTTGGTGCCAAAAATCCGAACAGCACGTGTCAAGCTAGCTAGTAAACCATACGCAATCTAGTACAGCACCTCCAATTCGCCACCTTTGCCTTTTGCCAGTCCAGTGCACGAAATCAGTGCAGTGAGTGTGGTCAGTCTCTCTCGGACGGTGTCATGCGGGCGAAATCCTTCGTCACGGTGAAACAACTACAACATCCGAATCAATGATGTGGGAGGCAGCCGCTACTTGAAGGCATCCGCAGCCATTGACAATTTGGTATAATAAATATTGTCTTCTGAGAGCAAAGCTGGACTCGAGCTCCTTGAGGAAAGGTGGGAGCTCTGGAGACGTTCCTTGGACTGGCGACACTCGGACAGTGTGTTTGGGGTGTGCACTTGTAGCCAACACCGGACCAGCACCTACCAAAAAAGAGTCTGCCCGCTTCGTTACTTCAAGCTGATGCACTGTGTCTTGGAATTACAAGTAAGTCACAAAGTCTGTTGTCTGAAGAGTTTGGTGTACTTAGTTGGCGCTGGGTCGACCTCCGCACCACACGTGCGCTATATGGGTGAGCTGCAGACAGAGAACAACGGTACCTCTCGATAAGAAAGTCATTAGAGCGGAACATCTGTCATACAACACGCCCGTGCAGCCGACGGAGAAGAGAAGGAAGAATATGCCCTAAATAAGCGACAACCAGATCCACTGCTAGCTCCAGCTACCATGTGCCAGTAAACAAGGAACCACAACATGAAAGAGGACGTACCTGCATTGGGGGGCGATCGGCGGAGCGGAGAAACGTCGCCGTCGTCATCCTCATCATCGGTGCCTCTCCGTTCCCTGGCGTCGCTGATCGTTCTCTTCCTGGTGTCGATCCTGAACCAAGCCGACCGCTGGGTCTTCCCAGCCTTGGCACCAGCTGGTCTAAGATGCTACGTTCCACCGCCTGACTCCTGCAACACTACAACTACCCCGAGTCCCAAAGTGCTTCCGACTGCAAGCTTTATGAATGAAATCGAGTCTAAAACTACATCCAGTTACCAACTCTCATATTCCGGAGCTGAGGGCTCAATGTCTTCCTCTTTCCTGGCAACTGGAAACACTTCCGAGAGCAACAGCACTGCGAATGGAACGTGTGCTAGTGAAGGATGCATCGACTTTGATTCTTATGATCAAGGCATTCTGACTGGGCCAGCGTTCGCCGCCATCTATGTACTCTCGGGCATACCTCTCTCCCGCCTGGCCGACACCTCATCTCGTTTGCTGGTGCTATCCCTGGGCCTTTGTCTGTGGTCTGGAACGGTGTTCGCAACGGGATTTGTGCAGACCAGGTGGCAGCTGTACCTCACACGTCTGAGCCTGGGAATTGGAGAGGTGAGGAAATAGCTGAGGACTAGCAGACTGCTAGCATGCTCACTGCTGGAGAAAATTATTGTCATCATAGACTACAATTGTAGAGATCTGTGGTTACTACAGCAGTGTAAAGAAGTGTCCATATTGATAAACACACGTTTTTTAGCACTTTAGTGGGGTAGAGATCATATCCTGGCCACGCATCATACCGTACTTGGAGTAGTGTCATGGAAATGAGCGTAGCGACCGTGAAGGAATACATCCCCAGCTTCACCAGTGTATATCTATATCTGGGGCTATCCATAAATAACCGGATATTTGTAATTTGGGGAGAGGGGGTTGAAGTGCCGTTTGCTTTATCAATAAGACTGTTACTTAGTAACAGTTGAACAGTTGAACAGTATCGATGTGTTAGAGGAAAGTAACCACACAATTACAAGCATGCATGTGCGTTCATTAGGAGGAGGCTATGAGGCATGGAGATAAACTACGAGAAAAACATGATTATATTTGTTCCTATCAGTATGTATGACGCCAATGGCTATTGGCTGATGTGTGTGCGTGCGTGTGTGTATGTGTGTGTGTGTGTGTGTGTGTGTGTGTGTGTGTGTGTGTGTGTGTGTGTGTGTGTGTGTGTGTGTGTGTGTGTGTATGGGTGTGTATATGTGTTGTTGCTCAAGGCAACATGCAGTCCAGTTGCATACTCGCTACTTGCAGAGTTGTTCTCACCCAAACACCACGCACTGGTCATCTCCATCTACAGCGCCGGAACGTATGTGGGTAAGGTGGAATGTGTGGAGTGCCATGTGTGTAGGACAGTTGCTGAAATGGCCATATCAGCCATATTACTATTAGACACCCTTAGCAAAAAACGTTATGTTGTAACGGTATTATCGTAAGGGGGAAAATACCGTGATTTGGGTTCGACCTTTAGCAAGATGCACGCTATTTTTAGTACGCTGTTGCCACAAGAGTAGCTTTGATTTCGCGCGGTACAACCATTTTTGTCACCATATACGCGATACACGGTGAAATGCGTACGGACTATGCAATATTTGGCCAAAACACGTACCGTTGGTCACAACGATAAATCAGCCCCCATAACGTTTATACGCTGCAGCTTCAACGCTATTTGGGTGATCAAGGTACGAGTACCGTAAAAAATAGCGTTACCGTTGTTTGCTAAGGGTGTCTATTATTAGCAATTACGCTAGGTGAACTCTGGCGACCCTGTCCTGTTCCAAGCATCACAGCACTGCATGTGTACGGGTGTATGTCCAGCGGCATCTGCAGCACTCTCAGGGTGTCAAGGTCCATATACATCCGAGCGCCAAATATACAGTTTGGGTCAGTTTTCACCAAGCACCAGCACACTGGAAACTGTGCATGTAGTATTCCAAAGAAAGGTTTGGCAAACATGTAGTACTCCATTCAGGTTAGCAAGTGGAGTCTGCACACCCTAAAGAAGGTTAGCAAGTGGAGTCTGCACACCCTAAAGAAGGTTAGCAAGTGGAGTCTGCGCGCCCTAAAGAAGGTTAGCAAGTGGAGTCTGCACACCCTAAAGAAGGTTAGCAAGTGGAGTCTGCACGCCCTAAAGAAGGTTAGCAAGTGGAGTCTGCACACCCTAAAGAAGGTTAGCAAGTGGAGTCTGCACACCCTAAGTAGAGGATATAACCCGAGTCAGAGGGTTATACCGGCTGAATATAAATCCCGACTGCGATAGCAGGAGGGATTTATATGAGGGTACGGTATAACCCGACTACGAGGGTCATATCCTACTTATGCCAGGTACCCCTACGCATTTCCAGAACTACGAACCTATTTGGAGATCTCCTACATCATGCAGTACATGAACATCTTCTGATGGTTATCAGTTGTCAGTTGAAAGAATGGTCGAGCAAGGTCAGAAGGAGATTCCTCCGTGGATGTTTGGCATAAGATTTCCTTTCAGTTCCAGTGCATATTGTAGCATCTTCATGATCTTGTCTTTATTTATTATTATTATGAAATGACCCAAAGGCAATGTGCCTATCGAGGGGTTCATTTGATTGAAAGAACAGTAGATGTAGCTGTCTTGAATCGTGAGCGGTGCGGAAGTCGACTGAATTGCTGCGGTGCTGGAGTTTGTCGTTGAATCAAACTACCGTCACTAGTTAGATTACAGCTTGGACTCTTTGGGAGTAAGTGTTACTATAATTATGGTACAGTGCTGATTTTCACATGCGGCATCTCATAATCAGTTTTGCTTGCAAGTAGATGCATTTGCATACACTGTTTTGTATCACATTTCAATCCAATCTATTGTAGCCTTTTCCAATCGGGTTGAAGTGCATGTACACTGGTATTATAAACTTATTTACGAAGGAGACAGTCCGTTGATGATCTTCAACTCTTCGAAGTACAATGTACATTGCTGACCCATTCGGGATACTTCGTGGTTATTCGACGTTCTTTATCCTCAGATTCAGTATAACAGAATACTCTGTAGACGAATTCCAGGTCATTCTTCTTTTCCATTGTGTACTGTTCCTCGTCAGTGTGCCTTTCTGTGTGGAGTGTACACGCGCATGTGGTGTCCGTTGTGTCTGTTTATGTATGGTCCGTGCGCTGGAGTACTGCCGCCGTACAAGTCAGTCACTGCCTTTCAGGCAGTGAACTTGTACGGTGGCAGTGCCCTAGCGTACGTACCGTGCACCGGGATTTATATTCTATATAAATCCCGCGCGGGATTTATACTGGCCAATATAACCATGGCTAGACGAGCGCTGATTGGCTGAAAACAGGCCCTCCGTACCGTACCATGGTATAAAGAAGGTTAGCAAGTGGAGTCTGCACACCCTAAAGAAGGTTAGCAAGTGGAGTCTGCACACCCTAAAGAAGGTTAGCAAGTGGAGTCTGCACACCCTAAAGAAGGTTAGCAAGTGTAGTCTGCACACCCTAAAGAAGGTTAGCAAGTGGAGTCTGCACACCCTAAATAAGGTTAGCAAGTGGAGTCTGCACACCCTAAAGAAGGTTAGCAAGTGGAGTCTGCACACCCTAAAGAAGGTTAGCAAGTGGAGTCTGCACACCCTAAAGAAGGTTAGCAAGCGGAGTCTGCACACCCTAAAGAAGGTTAGCAAGTGGAGTCTGCACACCCTAAAGAAGGTTAACAAGTGGAGTCTGCACGCCCTAAAGAAGGTTAGCAAGTGGAGTCTGCACACCCTAAAGAAGGTTAGCAAGTGGAGTCTGCACACCCTAAAGAAGGTTAGCAAGTGGAGTCTGCACACCCTAAAGAAGGTTAGCAAGTGGAGTCTGCACACCCTAAAGAAGGTTAGCAAGTGGAGTCTGCACACCCTAAAGAAGGTTAGCAAGTGGAGTCTGCACACCCTAAAGAAGGTTAGCAAGCGGAGTCTGCACACCCTAAAGAAGGTTAGCAAGTGGAGTCTGCACACCCTAAAGAAGGTTAGCAAGTGGAGTCTGCACACCCTAAAGAAGGTAAGCAAGTGGAGTCTGCACACCCTAAAGAAGGTTAGCAAGTGGAGTCTGCACGCCCTAAAGAAGGTTAGCAAGTGGAGTCTGCACACCCTAAAGAAGGTTAGCAAGTGGAGTCTGCACACCCTAAAGAAGGTTAGCAAGTGGAGTCTGCACACCCTAAAGAAGGTTAGCAAGTGGAGTCTGCACACCCTAAAGAAGGTTAGCAAGTGGAGTCTGCACACCCTAAAGAAGGTTAGCAAGTGGAGTCTGCACACCCTAAAGAAGGTTAGCAAGTGGAATCTGCACGCCCTAAAGAAGGTAAGCAAGTGTAGTCTGCACACCCTAAAGAAGGTTAGCAAGCGGAGTCTGCACACCCTAAAGAAGGTTAGCAAGTGGAGTCTGCACACCCTAAAGAAGGTTAGCAAGTGGAGTCTGCACACCCTAAAGAAGGTAAGCAAGTGGAGTCTGCACACCCTAAAGAAGGTTAGCAAGTGGAGTCTGCACGCCCTAAAGAAGGTTAGCAAGTGGAGTCTGCACACCCTAAAGAAGGTTAGCAAGTGGAGTCTGCACACCCTAAAGAAGGTTAGCAAGTGGAGTCTGCACACCCTAAAGAAGGTTAGCAAGTGGAGTCTGCACACCCTAAAGAAGGTTAGCAAGTGGAGTCTGCACACCCTAAAGAAGGTTAGCAAGTGGAGTCTGCACACCCTAAAGAAGGTTAGCAAGTGGAATCTGCACGCCCTAAAGAAGGTTAGCAAGTGTAGTCTGCACACCCTAAAGAAGGTTAGCAAGTGGAGTCTGCACGCCCTAAAGAAGGTTAGCAAGTGGAGTCTGCACACCCTAAAGAAGGTTAGCAAGTGGAGTCCGTACACCCTAAAGAAGGTTAGCAAGTGGAGTCTGCACACCCTAAAGAAGGTTAGCAAGTGGAGTCTGTACACCCTAAAGAAGGTTAGCAAGTGGAGTCTGCACACCCTAAAGAAGGTTAGCAAGTGGAGTCTGCACACCCTAAAGAAGGTTAGCAAGTGGAATCTGCACGCCCTAAAGAAGGTTAGCAAGTGTAGTCTGCACACCCTAAAGAAGGTTAGCAAGTGGAGTCTGCACGCCCTAAAGAAGGTTAGCAAGTGGAGTCTGCACACCCTAAAGAAGGTTAGCAAGTGGAGTCTGTACACCCTAAAGAAGGTTAGCAAGTGGAGTCTGCACACCCTAAAGAAGGTTAGCAAGTGGAGTCTGTACACCCTAAAGAAGGTTAGCAAGTGGAGTCTGCACACCCTAAAGAAGGTTAGCAAGTGGAGTCTGCACACCCTAAAGAAGGTTAGCAAGTGGAGTCTGCACACCCTAAAGAAGGTTAGCAAGTGGAGTCTGTACACCCTAAAGAAGGTTAGCAAGTGGAGTCTGTAGTACTCTGTACACCCTAAAGAAGGTTAGCAAGGATCAGTCTACATGACTCATGAGGCTACACCTCAGTGTCACATGCTGGTTCTCAAGTTTGGTTAGTCGGAGCACTGGCCAGTCCTTTTGAAGATGATGAGTGCTGTTTCAATCCCAATAGTCAACTTAACTCCGTTAGTGTGTGTGTGTGTTTGGTGTGTGTGTGTGTGTGTGTGTGTGTGTGTGTGTGTGTGTGTGTGTGTGTGTGTGTGTGAAGAAATTTCCATCTGGAATTGTGTACCTGGCTGCTGTTGAGGAGGCAGAGTGACATAATGTGACCCTGTGTTGTCTTACATGCGGCAAGGGTTAACTGGAGTTGGAACCAACATAGCTGTCCCATTATTATGGTCATGTGATAGCTCACTCTATACAGTTTATTGATTAGGAATCTCTGGTGACTCAGGTTTCAATCCTACCAAAAAGACCAGCGTGTGCTGCCCTACTGTATATCATGTGTCATGTCCTGCAGGCGCATCGATCGGCAACTTGTGTGGTTTCGTTAGCAATGTGCTGTGCTGGCGGTGGACATTTCGCATCCTAGGCCTCACTGGATTTTCCATGTTTCCCATCATGTTTGCCACCCTGTACAAGAAGCAGCCTCAAGCACCCTCTGTTCGGGTTACTATCAATGGATCATCAAACGTGAACGACGACTCTCAGTCATCGGTACAAGCAAAGGGTCGTCGTTACACGGTGAAGGTAAGTTCGGCCTGCAGGACATCCTCGTTGCTTGCCAACCTATAAGAGCAAGATCAGTGTTCCTATTGTGTACATCTTCCACTGGAGCACACCATCAGTCTGATGTACAAGCTAGGTATTAGTAGGAATCTACATCCTCCTATTGCAATTGGACTGTGGATAGACTGAGCGTACACTGTCACATGCTGACATGACTGTACATGCAGGTTCCTGCACTGTGCTTCTTGCTTGGTTTGTAATAACCATGACTTGCAGTTGGAAAGGCAAAGAAGAGGACAGAAAGAACAAAGGAGGACAAAATGTTACGAGTTATGACTAACTGTCCACCACACCAACGTAATCAGATCTTATACAGTCAGCGAGTGCGACAAAATGGCACAAAACTGACCCATCCGAGTTAAACAGAAAGAACAGCTCACATATTACCATACATCTTTTTTGAGTTGAGCTCTACACACAGCTGTTGGTGTGAAATATTTCCATTCATGTCTGTCTTTGGCTAAGACAACTTGAAGGCATCGGGTAATACTGTGGTACTGGTGCACTTCAGGCCTTCTTTCATGGCACGTCAAAGTCAAATCGAAACAACTCAGTCGCCTGACACTGCTCCTCTGGACCTGTGTCATGCCGTGTCCCTCTGGATCTGTGTCTTTGTCATGCTCCTCTGGACCCGTGTCTTTGTCATGCTCCTCTGGATCTGTGTCTTTGTCATAGTCCTCTGGACCTGTGTCTTTGTCATGCTCCTCTGGACCTGTGTCTTTGTCGTGCAGGAGACATTCTTCGAACTGGCTGGCTCCTGGCCATACATGATCATCACAGTGGCGGCGTCCGTGCGATTTATCGGTGGCTACGCGCTGGGTGCCTGGTGTGCGACATTCTACCGAGAGCACTACGGAGAGCCGCCAAGGAGTTACGGAATGAAACTGTTCATTGTGTTCATGGCTGGCGGATTACCCGGCTCCATTCTGGGTGGATTCATAGCAGATAAGTACGTTCTAAATGGGACTGGAGAGGTGATGTGCTTTCAAAAATATTTCCATGGAATGCCGGGATGAGTGTTATCAAAATGACTGTAAATAATTCAATTACAGTCAACTTCGCTAATAACGACTGCGGATATAACAACAATTCGCGAATAACGACAGAATGTCCATGCCCAGAGCAAAGTCCCATCCAACTGTAATACATAATAATGAGACTTCGGGTATAACGACACATCGCGAATAAGGACACTTTTCTGATGCCCCGCCGAGTGTCGTTATGTGACGCGAAGTAGACTGTATCTCAACACAAGTCCTGAATTGGCTGAGACAATTACTATCTTGGCTAACTTCGATTCTGCCCCATTTACTAGTAGCTCCTAGTAATGAGCTGTAATAGTGCTATATAACAGCCTGAGTATGTCAGCGGGGATGCCACCGGCGTTCATGTTGTGTAGCCTCTCCTCCAAGTTGAGTTTTCCCATTGGTGTACAGTGAACAGGCTTTCCTCCAAGTTGAGTTTTTTTGTTTGTCGCAGCTCTACTTCTGTGATCTTGTCTGTTCTGTAACTTTGAGCTGTTGGTCTGTCGTTTGAATTTTGATCTTGCCACAGGACAATGAAGTATGGCTTGCACTGGAAGGCGTATGTCATTGCGCTCACTCAGGTACTGATCGTAGGAAGGTCCATCTCTCTGTAGAGGGAGAGGGAGAGCAACTATGCTGGGTTAGGTGTAGAACAGGGAGTCGTAAGATACCGGTATTTTACGACTCCCTGGTGTAGAACCTCTGGTGCTGACTGCACATGCAGGCAGCACTTTGCACTTCCTTCCCCGGGCCCTGCCTGCAATAGCCGTGACCTGGGCTAATCCCCGCATAGATCTCAAGCATGGCCTGTAGGTACTGTGTAAGGCAAGAATGCATCGTACGAGGCTTTGTTGTATTTTATTCCCAAGTGCAAAGGTTCAGTCACTGTGATCAGACTACAGCCACCCCGCTACCGTCATCAACACTGCACACCCTTGCAGGACGAGGCTTCAAAGTGGCTCGTCATCATAGAACATGTTAAAACATATGGTGCTGGTAATAGAGAAATTGAGCTACCAGAGTCAACTAACCTTGCAACTTGAAACGGACAGATGTGGCTTACAGTTCCTGTGACATACTAGCAGCTGCTAGTACCGACAGAGTAGCAGATTTTGGAGAGGGGATCACTGCCACTGGTGCACAGGGTAGAACGTTCTGGAGAACCGACGGACTGTCTCACAATAATCAGGGAGTGAATCATCATTTCGCAGACGTCTAGCTTTCATCCCAACTTCTACTTGTGCTGCTGGAGAAAATTGGACTTCCATGCAGGCCAGGAATCAGCTGTTCCATGTTTCTGTGGAGAGCTACAGTGCTGGCAACTAAAATCCGACCCCCTGGGCGGCGCGTTCACTTCCTAGCGGCCTCTCTTTCGGGTCCTTGCGATGCGAGCGCACCGCTCAGGGGTCGGATTTCAGTTGCCAGCACTGTAGATCATGGAACTACAAAAATTTGTGACTGGCTGTTGCACACCATATACAGCGGTAGCCCGCTCCTCATCCGTCCAGCGATTCACTCGGGCTACTTGCTGGATTAGGGAAGTACACAAACCACACAGTCCAGTCGGATATGACGCTGTCATCAAACTCGCCTGGCTTTGCCCAGGCCGTTTCTCCGAATGCTGGGCAGGCTGGTGATCCTAGGTCATTTTTAGAAGTAGGAACAATATTGAACATACACTGGTAACTACTAACTACAGAACATGAAACCAACAACAATAAAAATAGCCGAATACAAACGGGTCACGGATCTGGGAGAAACCCCTGTTGCCATCAGAATATAGCCTGACTAACGGTATTCCCAGAAGCACTCACTGTCAGGCGTTCAGAGCAACCAGGATGTTGGGATGGGTCTCTTGGGCTCATCGAGCCTCTCTTGTGTGGTGGCTTACTACCGGTTAACGCATTCGAAATAAATATTCTAGATTTACAGTAATTATTACTCCATCCTCTCATGCTCAGTATCTAGTACGAGCAAAAGTAAAATTGAAAAATGTAAAGTTACGCCTCCCTTATATCCTTTTTATGGCTGCTTCTCTTCTCCTGTGATAATACCCTTCCGATGCTGACAGGCAATTGCTGCGCCGCTAGCAGCGGCCATCTTTCTCATGCCGACGGCCATGATCTCTTACGTCATGCTGACTGTGTCCTTCCTGTTCTCTGAAGCCTGGATGGGAGTTGCAGCATCAATAGTCCAGGTAACTAACCGTCCACTGTCAATTGCTGCAGATACATTCCACTGCATTTTACCATTAAATATGTGCAGGCATAGTGGGATGGTCTAAGACCATGATTGAGAAACAGAGGGTACCAGGTTCAAGTCCTGCTTGGAAGCGGAAGGAATTTTTCCAGCCGTGCTGCGACCCACAGTTAATTGGGAACTCGTGGCCTGGCACGAGGGTAACATGGATGCAGCTAATGGGATTTCGGTCTTTGACCACTTGGTGGTGGGTCTGATCTACTCACCTCCCGCCGTTTAGGCGCTGCATCTGCGCCTTTGATCCTAGAGGGTGGTGGCGTTCCCACGGCGGATGCGGAAAACTCGGCTTCCAGCCGAGTCTCACGCGAACCGTGAAATTTATTATTATTATTTTTTTAGTGTCAACTGCTGCAGATACATTCCACTGCATTTACCATTCAATATGTGCACTGTAAACTGCTGCAGATAGGCTCCACTACACCTCATCATCAGTCATATGGACAGGCCTGGATAACTTGTACATATTTACACTGATACGTACATGTACATGTAACTACAGTCTGTATCGGCTATAGAGTGACCGGATATAAGAATATATCGGCTACAGTGATATTGGTACGAAATATCAAAAGCAAAACGTATTTTATCCTGTACAAATATCACTATAACCAATATTATCGGATGTAAATGATATATCGGATATTATGATGGCAACAAAGAATCAAAACATACACAACACACTACATTATAATCGGCTATAGTGATAACTTTAAAATACATGTTGCAATAATATCAAAGGCCCTATTTTTTTACTTTCTTCACGTTGCTTATTTTGATAGTGACACATGTACATGTACAAAACAGAATTTTTTATGGAAATGCAGGCACTGTCAACTATGCAGCATGCTCATTTTGTCAAAACGCCATGCTGGAAGTATTTCCTTGCCTTTCATGTGTCGCTCGAAAAAAACCGATCGTATCGCATATAGTGATGCATCGGTTATAGTGATAAAATCACGGAAATCAAAAGGGTACGCTATAGCCGATACAGACTGTACAATGCTGCTCAGCCCTTTCCGGCTTTGGTCAGCTAGGGAGATCAGATCAGCAAGGCTGGTCTGTACATGTGTACTGTCAATTCGGCAGTGTACATGCACACACAGCTGAAGCAGCTCCGACAAGCGGCAAGATATGCACGTACAACAGTATAGTAAACTCTGTGTAAAGGAGTTCTGGGACTCGTCAGCCGATATTCTTTTCTCATCCCATGTCTTCAAGCCCGGTCCGTCGTTCTGCCTATTGCCACCCTGCATACAGGATGTCCACAAGCCGGCCGTGCGCTGTCAAGCATCGGCCGTCTACATAGCCATCGGCACTCTGGTTGGCTGTGCAGGACCTGTCCTGGTATGTGCTGTGCTACTTTTTTTCCTCGTGCATTTTTTTTTGAAAAACGTAAAATGCTTGGCACCTATGATCAGGGGATGGCCCATGCCTGGTAAAAAAATTAAAAAATTAAAGAAAAAATTAAAAATACTTCAAGTAAAAGGTTCTGCGTTCCGGCTCTCCGCCTTCTCCGCGAACGTATGTGCTGTGCTACACACTGTTAGCAAACGTACATAACCCACACGAGTGTGCGACTGCCTGCACAGGCTCAGTACAGGCTCAGTACAGGCTCAGTACTAGTGTCAGCCCAAATTTGCCGGCAATTCTTTTGGCATAATATCGAAACATTTTAGAAAAAGAATTCCCCGGCATATTTGGAGCATAATTTCGAATTTTTTGGAGATCTTCACCGTGATTTCGCAGATACTCGAAGTTTCACATCCAGCGCCAGAGGTACATGCGTGTATTGTACTAGGTTCATGCTCAAAACTAAATTCCTTTGCACGGCAGCTTGGTAATGAGCATTGTGAGGTCAATCTTCACACTTTAAAATGTGAACCCAGCAAAACCGAGCAAATTTCGATGTTTTTCTGAAATTTTCTCCAAAATTTGGCGTTTTTGAAGCTGTCATTGAGCATAATCAGAGCAAAATATCGGATCCGCCCGGAAATGCCAAGCTGCATAATATCGAAAGAAGCGCAGCAAAATTATGCGGCATAATATCGAAAAGTCTCGAGCAAATTTGGGCTGACACTACTCAGTACAGTGCTGTGACGGCAGAACTTCACAGCACGTGACATGGTTCAAAAGGTTTACTCTGGCAAACAGTGCAAAGTGACCGCAAGAAAGTTGAACCCAAAGCACCAAGAGTACATAACCCCCCCAGAGTGTGCAACTCCCACATACCCTGTTGTCCCGACAGAATTTCAAGTTGACGTCATTATTTATGACGCAATGCTCCTTGCACCAGTGATTTACAACATGTGTACGGGTGTCAACGCATCACACGTTTTTCTTTGCAATAATTTGTACAGGATCGATCGGCTTCGGTCAACCACAGGTTCCGGATTCGTCTGATAATCCGTGTACAGTGCGCATTGCATCATCAAAATGACGTCAACTTGAAATTCTGTCGGGACAGCACCCATAGTGGAGTTGCACACTCTGGGGGGTTATGTACTCTTGAAAGCACTAAGCAGGGTTGCGTACAAACCAGGGAGTCGTAAAATACCGACTTTACGACTCCCTGGTACAAACCTGTATCTATCATGCACAGGGAACGAATAATGTTTATTGCATGTCACGTGAGGGTTGTCCGTGCTACGGCCAATCAGCGCCCTCCGCAAGCGGTCTGTATTTCTTGATATTGCCCGCACAGCTGCGGGCAGGAATTCTGCGTATTGACCGGTTTATTGCCCGCTGAATCTGCTCGCTCACGCATGCGCATTCACAGTATGCCAAATCCACTTACCTTGTGTAGGTTACAGTTTTCATACGTGGTGATACTGATGCAAATATGGAAAAGGAGAACTTACCAGACGAACCAGCTCCAAATTTGTCGGAAGATGCCCATACTGGTAGTACTAGTAGCTCAAATGGTGAAGTCAGTGAAGAGAACGCGAGCGTTGAGGCCTGTCGGTTCGAGGAGATCACTGACGAAGAGATTGAAAAAATGATCTCCGATACCAAAAACCGGAACACGTCCGCCACCACCAAGAAATGGCTCGTCGTCCTGGACGAGTATTGTCGAAGTCGAAAGATCTCCTGTGATCTGGCAACAGTATCAGCATCGGACCTTGCAGGCGTTTTGAAGCACGCATACGTCGGGATTCGAACGAAAATTGGGAAAAAATTGTATAGCAAGGCGAGCCTGATTTCATTTCGTGCCGCAATTCAACGTCAGCTAACAGAACATCAACGCACAATCAACATCATGACGGACAAAGAGTTCCAGCAAGCAAATATTGCTCTAAATGCCTTTATCAAGAAGATGAAACAGGATGGCAACCTCAAGGAAGTCAACCACAAAGATGCCATTTGTCACGAGGATCAGGCAAAATTAAATTCCTATTTCCTCGCAAACTACGAGACCGACCCTATCGCACTGGCGGAGATGGTGTGGTTTGCAATCACCAAACAGTTTTGTTTACGTGGTCGAGAGTGTCAGTCTGACATGTGTGCGGAGGATTTTGAAGTTTGCCACGACACAGAATTTGGAGAGTACATCAAGATGACAACTTCCATGAAGTCTAAGAACCATCAAGGTTCGATCGGCGCATCTGACAGTGTGTCTGATGGGCGCATTGTAAATCCTGCTCACGTCAAGGCATTTAAACTGCTGGTGAGCAAGCTGCCAACCTCGTCATCTGGCAGGACAAGGCTGTTTCAACAAGTCATGAAAAAAGCTACAACTGAAGCACAGATCTGGTACAATGGCAAGCCTGTTGGCAAGAATACGCTCGGTGGTCTCATGAGAATATTGTCTGTGAAGTGTTCATTGTCTCAACGATACACCAATCACTCAGTGAGAGCATCCACGATCACTGAAATGTGCCGTCAGAGTGTGTCCCCCTCAACGATAATGGGTGTCTCGGGACACAAGTGCCAACAGTCACTAACCCATTACAACAGGCCGTCTGAATGTGACAAGCTCAAGGCAGCATCATTGCTTGACGGCCCAAGCAGTGCAAGCACGACCGACTTACATCCTGAGCTTGCCGGAATCGACCTGGACCTGTTGTTCCAGCCGCCGATGTATTCCGAACCTGTCGCGGCCCAAGCCGTCCAACCTGATGAGTGCCTGGACATCGATGCCCTGATCAGCAGCTGCTCCGCCGAAGAGCTCAACAAACTGGAGACCCAGCAAGGCGCTAGTGTTTTCCAGGCGTGTTCCTATTCTTCGTGTACAATCACGAATCACATCACTATCAATGTTGTAAAGAAATAAACCAATTTTCAAAACCACAAACACGTGTACGTGTACCTCCTCAGTCCGCATGCACAGTCAACTGAACTACTGAACATGCCTTGTTCTGCTGTATTATGGTATGTAGGGTTCCAAGCATGCAATAAATGATTTACAGCACCTCGTACGCGCTCGTACACGGGCAATACCGGCTGATACATGACCTCACGGCTGGCGCCGTTCGGTCATGTATCAGCCGGTATTGCCCTTGTACTCGCTTGTACTCGGGCTGTAAATCATACGTACGGGTTCGTCACGGAACGGGACGTTTTGCCGTCGCAGACCCCATAGCTGGAGTTGCACACTCTTGGGGGTTATGTACTCTTGCTATTACATGTAGTCATGATGGCTATACTTAGCGCAGGCTCCAAACCTCATTTCATAAAAATACTTTCTAATCTCGTCAAATTAGGTGGACGTGACTCGTCGAAACGGCAAATCTTATCTTTTTTTTTATGGGGTCGCCGGGATTTTACGACTGTTGATCCAGTGATCCAAGGGCAGTAAATGCTGCTATTGTTCTGATATTCCAATGCTTAGACACCTCATCATCACTAAGAAGTTGTAAGAACCTATGCGGGGGCAGCAAACTACAATTGTATCTATCACGAATATGGCGAGCATCAAACTGCGTAGTGAGAGCTGAAAGTGCAGCGAACCCCCCCCCCCCCCCCTTGGAAGTCGGATACAGCAAAGGTCGAACAATTTTTCAAAAATTACCAACATCTGTGGGAGTTGACTATTTGAATCTGTGTGGCAAGGGCTGGGACTGTCACCAAACCCGTGTACATGGCTGCAATGAAAAACGCAATAGGCCTTTGAAAGAGTGTAACTTACGAGCCTGCAAGCAATTCCCAACTACATACGACTGTACATGTCCGCTTGTGCGTGCGCGCGTGCCTGTGCGATGTTTCCTTTGCACGGCTCACTCAGGTTTCGGCGATTCTATCGAATCAAGAGGACTGCAACAAGAGCTACAAGCTGGCACTGCTCTACATCGTGCCTACAACGTACCTTGCCAGTGCTCTCCTCTTCTTACTGACAGGCGTTGTCAGGCACTGCCAGAGAACTAACCTGTCATCTACACCACCATTGGACCAGGTTTCTCCTCCACAAGCAGCAATACCGGACGACTTGGTCAGCGAAGCACACCTTTCAGACCAGACAAGCCGACCGGCTTCTAGAAAAACCAAACATTCCGCCACCGACGGGCCGGAGGTTGAGCAGCAATGGCTACTGGGCAGTGAAGACGAGGATGACGCCCCATGACATGGAAGAAGAATGACACACTTGCCATGGTACACGATACTCCTCGTCACCCAGAGGAATAACAGTCCCGGGAAAATTCACAAAGTCACCTGTGTGGTTCACATCTCGGCTAGATTTTATTCTCATTTTCCCCAGCAATTTGAACTTTTGAGACCTTGAGACAACCTTCCTACATCCTAGTACCATCCCGCTTCATTATTTATTGGGCTCTATGAAATTTGAATCTCTATCAAGCCACTCAGGTTACATTTACCTTAGAGTGCCTTTACCGATTTTTACGCTCTAAACAGCTCAGAAAGAATCAATATGTTTCTCCGATGTTTATGTATCATGAAAGAAAATGATCAAAAAAAAGTTAAAGTTCAACGGCCAAAGACGCCAGTCAATTGTCCCGCAAAAGTCACATCACTGCGGCCGGTCACACCACATCACATTCCCACACTCTTCCACTTGCTCCGCGTGTCACCTTCGACAGTATCCAGCGACGGATGGTGCCACTTCCTCGGCGTGTCCACATGGCGATGGTAGTATGCTCCCCAGGTGCGCTCAATTTCCACCACCGCTTTCTTGCAGTCGTCGGCCGCGGGCAGCAGCTGCCACCGAAATGCATTGCCTCTGTCCATGTCCTGTGGTTGGGTTATCACATTTTCTGATCACAACCACAACACAACCACACAAGAAGAAATTAGACAGGCTAAAATGATTCTGCAGATTGCAACAAGAAACAAAGATTTTTTAGTCAACACTCTAGGAAGCTGAAGTTGAAGACACCAGTGCAGCTGTACTTATGGTCGATCCAAAAGGTGGTAAATACACACCCGGCAATATGGCGGTAAATACACGCCTGCCCACACACGCTCTCTAGGCTGCAAAGTTATTCTGGCACATAGCTCTCCTTCTCACCACTACCATCAGTCCGCGCCTGGCGCCTAGTCGATGCATGGCTTTATAGCCATATTTCCGGGTGTGTATTTACCACCATTCGGATCAACTCTAGGAAGCTGCTCATGGAATCACAAGTTTACAATCTGGAGACATGTACTTCGAAGTACATTCCTCACACCAGGCGACTCACATGTGTATGCCTAAAGTTGAAATAAGATTAAATGTGTGTCATGCCCCAGTTCCAAATTAACTTGATTCCAACCTACATAGTTGGCAGGCATCCTGTAGAGCGGAGAACAATAATAATTAGGGGTGAAAGTTGGCACTGAGATCCCGAGTTCGAGTACTCTGATTTTCTCCGATCGAATATTCGAGTATTCTTGATATCCTAAAAATCGCCCACCAAGGGCCTTAAAAATCACATGGTACAACCCTGATAGAACCAATTGGCAGTCCTTTTCTCTGGTGTATTGGTTGGTGGGTCATTTGGGCTCTCTCTACTCATGCACAAATGCTCACCACACACTCTGCACATCAATATCTGCTGACTGCTGCTCTGAAACTGCAGACTTCTGTGGTGAATGCATGTACCATGTATGAGCGAGTACTCTGATTTATTCCGAGTACGATTATATTTGAAAAATCCAAACGAGTATTCGAATATTCGGTATAATTGTTTCACCCCTAATAATAATTATAATGATGAACGGACTACCAGTCTCCTAGCTGCTTGTACACAGGAACAGCTTTGTTCTAGCCGGAGACAGTACAATTATAATAATACAGTGCAGCATACAGATGACACACATCAAGCAAGCTCTACAGTAGCAGCAGCGTGGTGTGCTCCACCACGACGATAACGAAGCACAACTTACTTTTGTAGACGCGGCAGGAATGGACTCGATGTGTGTTCCACTGCACAGCGGCATAGGGAACAGGAACATGTGGTAGCAAAAGTCAATGGCACCATAATACAACCACATTTACATTACAAATAATGGGCGGATGTAGTAAAGAATGATCTCAAACCTGCCAATCTAACAATTCCAGTATGATTCCCCTTGGCTTTTGACAGACAGCAATGGATCACATGAAAGTGTACTTCTTTTCGGGGGCTATACATTGTATGCAAGCTTTGTATAGAGTAATCATTTTCAAATTTCGCCCCAATCCTCGGCATAGCACATAAACTGATCTGTATTCAGAAACGACGGGGCGAATGAAAGCAGTTTTCGTAGGGTGAGTACTTGTTCACGTAGTACTGAATGCGGCAAATAGGACTCGCCCAACCGCCCCTCCCCGCCTGAACCTATTAGAAGGGTCGCGGAGGTAGGGATTTTACGCTCTGGCGGGATTTTACGGTACCTATATTTATAGGTATGAATCAAAGGATCAGCAGCACTAATTAATTCTCTGTCATGCAACCAAGTCCTACGGCATGCCTTCCTACGTCTACTTGATCGTACAGGAGTATTTTAATCATTCTTCCTTTCCATTTCCGTGCTGTTCCAATATATTTTGTAACAAAATGTATTGGAACAGCACGGAAATGGATTTTTGTACTACAGTACATGCACCGTATAGTATTGTGTGTCATGACCCGGATCGGACTCGTCATGAAAGCGACCACGCATTGAGTTCAGCAGCGAAAAGCTAGACTCTGAAAATATTCTAGAGTTCTGTAAGAACCATGATTAGTCCTGCGAAGAATTTGGCACTTTCGTTAGTTGAGCAATGATGGCTTACAACTCGTGGCAGAGAGCCAACAAGTGTTGTCGTACGTCGGCAACACCTTCAGTACAAGTTGTCAGCGTTGTACTCATTATACTGCTGAGCTTGAGGGGACCACGCTTAGTCCTGCACAGGAGCTGATACCCTTGTTAGTTGAGCAAGAGTGGCGCCTTTCTCGTGTCGTAAGACCCCAGGCCCGTTGGCGGGAACGCGGCATTGCCGTCATGCACCCTACGGGGAATGAGCGGGAAGGGCCTGCGGGTGAAGGAGATCGGCAAGAATCAAGGCGGCAATTACATCACGCAACCGCCAGCAAGGCCGGCGTACGAAGTCGTAGCTGAATCCTGCAACATGCTATCTAAATATGTCACTTGGTTAAGGCCCTCTTCAGACTAGATACAAAACAGCCTATAAGTCACATTTACATAGAAGTTTCCAAGACAACTACAAGAATCTGGCGGGAAGCCTAAACAGCTGCCCAATCCTTTCGGGCAGGGTGCGAACCCTTGTACAAGGCAACTTTCCTGCATTTATCGTACTTTCACCAGGCAGTCGTGCAAATGTACAAACTTTGTACGACTGCCGGCTGCTTTCGAACGATACATCCCAGGCCCCGTGCAGGGTCAAAGGTTGCCTGTATGTTGCATGTAAAATGTGTAGTCCGAATGCAGGCGTGGAAAAATGTTGCCTTTTAGGTTTTATGTGATTGTGTACTGGATGTTCTATGTACGTAGTCTGTAGAGGGCCTAATAATTATCATGTAAAAATATCCTAGCAATCACATAAATTGCCACCCTTTTCTAACAATAAAGTACCTTCGATCGCTCCCTTCGACCCTCGTCTACACTGTCGTGTGAGTCGTAGAACAGGTGAGCTACTTATCTGCTTGATGTCAACTATATTGGTTGACTGCCTGGTGCCACTAGTTAGATCACAGGCCACGACACGTGCACGGCTGAGCAATGCAATGCCGCCCTGTACTCATGTACTGTGGCGAGGCAGGTTTTCTTTTATGTGCATGCACACGTCTATGACCACTGTCTCCTTGATCACACGCAACCCACATCGTATAAATTCGTGGCACAATATGGCACGAGAATTAAGTGCAATTTTACGAACAGGCTGCACGTGAATGTTGGCATATTCGAACAGCAAGAAAAACACCTACGTACCTCGTGATCATAGAGTTTCATTCCCAACATTACTTCATACTTGTCTGTGTTTTGCCTTGTCAAGTCTGTGAATTCCTTCGACCTCCACTGATAGTGAGTAATTCTTCTGCCAAATCCATTCATAGGCAGGCGATGAGCGATGTATCGAGCTGAAGACGGATATTCCATAGGCGTGGCTGGCCCTCGGAGAGCCAGGGCTTTCCGTCGAGCGATTGAAGCCATAATTATACCTACTACTAGACCTAAGCGTACATAATGCGGGGATCAAAATGTAACTCTCATTTCTCAAGCAGTGCTTGTTGAAGATTTGAGCTTTCAAAAAGAAACTGAAGTGCAACAAATAAAAAGTACGTCCGATCAAAAATAATCACAACGTTGATGATGTCATCACCTCGACCAGTTTCCCTAAAACAGAAAGGTTTGAACGCACAAATCACCACAAACTTCCGTGACATGCATGTGCATGCACGTGAAAACTGCCCGGTTTGCATAGGAATGCTTTTGGCGCGTTTTGTAGCACTTTTGAATTATTCTTGTGACACGCAATCAATCATGCATGATTGTGTTCAAAAGTGTGAAGGAGAAAGAAGATGTACCAATGCTTCTCGAGGTGATCAGGCAGACGTAGACGGACACAACACGGTTACACTGTAAGACAAGAGCAAGGGATGGAACAGGTGGTAGAATCCTTGCTACGAAAATTTGTCCAGACTCATCTCTCTGAGGAAGATGGCGAGACAGAGATAGAGGATGTTCTTCTGACATACGTGACTGGAATTTTGGATGGAATTGCCAGTGGCGAACCTGAGGATGATTTCGACGTGGACGAGTTTGCAGACGTCATGGCAGCGTACCTTCCAGGCTTCGACTCTATCGATAGGGCTCAAGTGTATGAGTGGATTTTCTCAGCTTGTAATTCAATGAAGGAGCCATTAGCGGAAGCTTCGTGTGTTCCTGAACAAAGTGTACCAACAGAAACTGTACAACATTCCAAGAAACCCAGTGAACAGTGTAGCGTTCAGAAGACTAACGATGCGTGTGCCAGCAAGTCTCACAAGGAAGCTACGTGTTCGGAGGGCGATGTTGGCACCGGATTGGATAGCCTTGCTCTCGGTGTTGAATGCAAGCGGTTGAAGAAAAGAGAAAAGAAAACGAGAGGTGATGCGTCCTCAGCGCAACCCACGAGTAGTAAGAGCTCACGGCCAATGCATGACAGTAGTAGTTCGCCTGTGGTGATATCTGCTTCAATTGATGATGAGAACTGTATCATGCTACAAGATATGTTTCCAGATATCGGCTTGGAGACACTCCACCGGGCACTTCTTGAAGCAGACGGTGTCTTGGAGCAAGCCATAGGTGCGCTACTGGAGCGGCAGTCAGAACAGGTGGAGCTAGTAGTGCCACGACGCACATCAGACAGCTCCACCGCCTCTCCGCCAAACCAACCGTCCTCCCTGTCCAAGTCGCCCCCGGCGCGGGGCGGCGGCCTTGTTGCACCGGCGCGGGAGGACACGCAGGACGCGGCGAGAATCAAGGACTTTGTCCTCGGCAAGTACATGCACGTGGACGAGGCGGAGGATGAGCGACAGCACCGGCCTCACCTGCAGGTTGCCGCCAAGAGCAAGCAGAAAACCATGTACCGCGACAACCATGTTGTCAGCACCAAGGGCGAGCGCTACTCCGTCATCACGAAGAAAGACCAGGAGGACGAGCATCTGAAAAAGACGTATGTCAGCATAAAGCCCCTCCGCAAGTACCGCTTCCATTGAGACTCCAGAACAGTATGCTCTCCGCTCCGCAAGTGCCGCTTCCATTGAGAAACCAGGACAATATGATGTCTGCACTACGAATTGACCATAATCGTTCCAGATCACTTTCACATTCACTTCAACATGTAGTTATATTCTCTGAGAACCAAGAAATAATTTATTGCGTTGCATCCCTAAATACTTGACACGAAACAAGCATGATAGAACCATTTGCCACTAAGATGCAAACACGAAAAGAAAAATACATTTCTAGCCAATTGTGCTTGTGTGACAATGATAATGCTGTGTTGACCCGTCACTTTAAACTCATGCTGTGTTGACCCGTCACTTTAAACTCTGTTTTACCAATCCATATTATCATGCTTTTATTATATTATCGGCTAATAACTTCATGAAACTAGTCCCATCTGTAGGATATACTGTCAAAGATCAGATTGTCATTGTCCCTTATTTTATCTGCTCTTTTGCTTTGTTCAGGTGTCCTGTACCAGTAGTTGTTCTTGTTTAGCTCTCAATTCTACCAACTCCTGCACGTGACTGTCCTCTCATGCAAGTATTGCAAGTATTGTACTATACTCATGCGCTCAAGTGTTTTCTATGTGGTGTGTGTGCGTGCGTGCATGTGAGTGCGCGTGCTGATATTACGTGTGCAACGTTTCGACTGACAACTTACTGGCTGTTCAGTAGAGGCCTACCATGGATTCTCTAGGAGCAACCGACACAAGCTCAAGAGTACGCTCAAGCTCCCCTTGCCACTCGGACACCATCCGTCACTACCAACAGCATTCAAGTTGTGTACGTCCAGTATACACTTAGAGTAGGGAGCAACACCCGACAGTCATATGCAGCATTCTGCATGACCCAGAGACTGCTAATAAGTACATATTATATAACCTAACACTGGTTCAAAATCAGTATTAGATAAACCTTGTTATAGTTCACGCATATTGTTAGATTGACAGCATGACACAAGGTGGAGGACACTGTGTTCGGAAACAGTGACCTTACTACAACCTTCCTCTGCCAACCGCAGAAGGTTGTAGTAAGGTCACTGTTTCCGAACACAGTATCCTCCACCTTGTTTCATGCTGTCAATCTAACAATTATAGTAAGTACATGTATCCAAATGAGGGGACATTGAGCATACATGTAGATGTATACGAGCTGGCCGGCATGCAACAATACTCAATAGAAATGTGTACCATATACATTATGCTTTGCAAACACATGTCACTCTACATCAGTACATGTACCGTAAAACGTTCTAGAAACCTGTGCCTAACGACCACCCCTTGGCTTGAGGCCAGAGTAAGCGGTCTTTAGTGGCAGGGGGGTCCTTAGGGGTCGTCGCAAAAGTTTTTTGTCGTCCCTGAAACGAACATGATTCGTTTGGGGGGGAGGGGGTGCGAGCCAAAATCGCAAGTCAACCGACACTGTACATATGACATGTACATGCATGCGATTTTCGTCGTCCAGCATAGCAAGCTGTGTTCGTTTCAGAGGGAGGGGAGGGGGTCCAAGTACGAAATGAACGATGTTCGTTTCAGGGACGACAGAAAACTTTTGCGACGACCCCTTAGAGGTTTGCACCGCACAACCATATACTTCAGTATGAATGTGAGACCGTCCGTGCCTAGTGAAGTGGTCTGTAGTACCAGGCTGGTCGCGAGTCACGGTGGTCTTTAGTTTCAGGCTTTACTGTACATATCCAATAAAAAAAACATGTGTGCAATCATGTATTTAATAGTGTACGAAGAAAGATACTTTGAAGCGCAAATAACAAGGATACGCCTAATGTTATAAAGTTATGTACACAAAAAAGGAAACTGATCGACAATAGAATGGAAAACGCGGAACCCATAACACGTATCACTACATCACAGGTTAGTCATGTAGCACGCGTTGTAGCACGCGTTCGAAGATACAAAATCAAACAGACATAAATGAACGCCAGACGACGGTAGATCTCACACCGTACCATGTACATGTAGATCGCTCAAACACCACATTAGACATGCACCCTGCTCCCGTACGCACGGCTACACTGGCCACATGTGACCAGGGGCTTACACATCGGGTGCAAAAGAAAGGTCTTGGACATTCAAACCGGCCGGTGTTGGCCGAGGCAACGGGTTGGATTGTACCCACCGATGGTTGCCATGGCGACGACGAAGTCGTATGGCATCGCTGTCGACATTGGCAGCGGCGTGCTTGTCGGCACGGTCCGCTTCCAGCTTGTTCTTGGCGAGGCGCAGCATGCCGAGACTGCGCTGCGTTCTGCGCATGCTACTCTCCATGATGTTGCTGTTGCGTGCCAGCTCTCGGGCTTCGGGCAGGTTGGTGCCCGGATGGCTCTGGTAAGTTCTGATCAACGGACGATCGAGGCGCTCGCGACTGGTCAAGTCCTTGGAGTTTATAGGACCCTGCAAAGCAGTTGATAGCAGAGAGAGAGAGAGCTCATTGAGTCAGATCTAGCAAATACATCAATATACACTAGGCATACCCAATGCTATACATGTCAGGCCGGCCGGAACCGGTCCGGTTGGTCGGGTTACCGGTAGTATACTAGTGCCGGACCAACTTTGTGGCCACCAACGCATGTTTATTGGTAAGGAGGTTCTACAGTGGTGGCAAGTGAAATCCAACACTTGGCATAAGGGACTGCACCATGCAGTCTGCAACCCCTGCAGCCCTGCATACGTACAGTACATGTGTTACATACAACTTTATCTGTCTGATGACAAAACTCGTACTCATCACAGTCAAGGTTCAAAAGGTGCTGGCAAAAATGAATGGGGATTGGATACCAATACTCCTTATGTGTACCGTATTGTGTACTGTGTGTATCTACGCTGTGACCTTTCGATCTGTTTGGGATGCATACGGCTCTATTGTGCAAATTAGGTGCAGTGTATTACATCATTGATGTCCATTTGTGGCGCTGTCTCCTATGGCAAGTGTCGGATTTCACTTGCCACAGCTGTACAAGTATTACGTTCCCGCTATATCAAACACAATGCATGAAAGGCTCTGGTACGACCGGACCAGAATACTGCTTCCGGCGGTCCTGCATGTATGCACATTACCTGTCTGATGATGGAAAAGCTTGAAAGTTGAAAACATCCCAATGTGTATGTGTGTGTGTGGGGGTGGGGGTAGGGGTCAATCAAAATTGATCCCCAATAATGGATGTCGATGTCGGTATGTGTAAAAGCACCGATATCTACTAGTCAAAATGTACCAGTGTCTGCTCCAGCACCGGGTGAGCCAGGTAATCCACCCGGTTGGGCGGCGGTTGGACCCGGTTGAAAATATAGTACCGGGTCACCTGTGACCCGGTTGGTACTTTACACTTTCGAACTAGTTACTTTGAAAGGACCGACTACATGGCTTGTATCAAGAGTGCATAAACCCCCCCCCCCTCTTGCTTGTATGTGTCAGATACTTCTTCTTCTTTCGTAATTTTCTAATTCCTGTCCTCTCTTTTCTAAATGCGGCTTATCCATTCGCCTTTATATCATTGGGCCTAGTTCCCGTTTATTGTCCGAATTAAAATAAACCAACCAACCAGTTAAAGCATGTGACTCGGCTGGTGAGACAGCGCCAGGTACACGTGTACCCGGCTGTCCTACAATCCTAGAGCAGACACTGATGTACATGTACCATGGAGCTGCAAAGGACTGTCGTAGCTGTCCTATTTTACACATGCATTTCTCTGATTTCTTCTCAAGTGTATGTTTTATTGCATTTTAATCCATTGTGTTAATGTTTGCCCGTAAAAGAGGCTTGTAGTACTAGTAACTAATTACATGTAACTGTCGAAGGCTGCATGGAACAGACGATACCTGCACATGTCAGTACACAATAACCTGCACCCTGACTCCATGAACTCACCATTGTATAGCCCTGTGTCAATTCCTGGTGTTCTAGCCAGCGCTGGTTACGGTGCATTGAAGCCCGCGTCTCTGCTTCGCTCAGTATCAGGTGTTGCTGAATACGGCAAAGGAGAGAGAAAAATACACAGTGCATTGTTGCTGCACAATGCAAAGAAGGCTTTACACTGGCAATGCCGGGCCGGTGATGGCTCATCAGCACCATTTTCGCAAGCATACAAATAACATAATGCTGCGTACCTACTCATTAGTAAGTTGCCTCCAGTTTACCGCATGCAAACACACGCGTCATGGTGTTAGCGGCTGCCGTGAGTTCCCTCGGGAACAGAGACAATAATTCACGCTCTATTTTTAACACAAGTCAAGCCATGGTGAAGCATTACTTTATCTCCCCTTCTTCTCTCCCTCCCCACTGACATGTACATATGCCTCCTGCCTTGCTTATCCACATATCTCAGTCTGATGACCAGCCCAAATGCTTTCGGGACACAGCACAATTGATCTCACTAAATGTTGCGTCCGTTAAGGATACCAGTCTTTTGCCATTATGGATGAGTGAGCAGTGCAGTGTGATCAGATAATACAGCCCTGGAAGGAGGGTGCCGCACAAATTATGTTACCTTTAGTGTAACCGTTTCCGCCACTTTCTGCGTCAGGCCGTCATTGACCGAACGCAGTGCTGCCTGTTGCAATGCCGTGGTGTCGCTCATCAGCCTGCTAGCCTGATCGCGCTGACGGCGTGACTCCTTCACTGACAGCATTGCAGTGTCCAGGCTGTTGGAGACTTCATCAGTACAAGGCAAGGTACTGCCAGTGTCCATGCCAGAAAAAGTAACAGATCTACAGGGCAAGCAAAACAGGGAAAAGTGCACTTTAGAGTTTCATGTTTCACGGGTACATGTTCTAGACCTCTCAAGTACAAACTGTGATTTCATTTTTAAAACGTTCTTAGAGCGAGGTAGACTGCCTAGACTAGGCGAGACTAGTGTATGCATCAGCTTATGGACAACTGCATGTGGCACTGAGCTGTAGCATGCACCGTCAGTGCTACTTTGTGTTATAGCGGCACACTCAAAGGTGATCATACCTTTCATGCGAGGCTTGAGGTCTGACAGCACTTGACTGTGGTCGTTGCTGAGACCGGCTGCTGGTGCGCTCTCCAGCACGGCTTGTTGGTGTGGTGAGCGTGACGGCAGGTGCACTGGCTGCTCGACTATGGCCGACAGGCGCAGAGTGTATCCGTCGGTCGGTGCGAGCACCCATAGTGAATCCATGACTGGCGGATAGCTTGAGAACCTGCGCAAGACCATGGGCGTATTCACAGGCACCAATATCATTCCGTTATCTAAGGCTGTGTTTACATGAGAAATTTCAACCCGGGTCGAGTTCAGCCCGGGTTGAAAGTCTGTACGATAGACAAAATAGGTGAGCGTTTACATGAAGACAGTTGACCCGGGCCAAATACTGATATGCCGCCAAAATTCCACTTCTAGAGTCCTGTATGGTCACGTGAATCCTTTCGCGCGAAATTTGCATGTGCAGTGCTGTTCAAACCTGGCGCGAGATACGCACAGAAGTACGTAGTACGATCTCTTTGACCCGGGTTGATTTCAACCCTCCCCCAAAGGCGAAATTTCAACCCGGGTCAAGCGCAATGCGTCATGTAAACGCACCATTCATTTTGTGTACATGGCGGGTTGAAATCTGACCCAGGTCGAACTCAACCTGGGATGAAACTTGAAACGCCTCATGTAAACACAGCCTTAAATGGATACAATCAATAACAATTCCATCCCCGTGAAGGATTTCCTCAGCTGAGTAAGTTTTTAGTACATTTTTTGTGCCACCATCATGAGTAAGGGCATTCAGAGTTGTACACTCTTGGGAGCTTAGTTACTCTCCCTAGTACTCGTGAACACAAGCACTTTCATACTGAGACGGTTCTTATCAAAACCCATTGGCCTGACCGGATGGCCATATCGGGCAAAAGTCACGCATTTTTTAACCAATGCAAAATCCGACTGCATAGTGCTCTGTATACAAGTAGAGCTATAGTCATTCAAAAATCTTATTACGGGTCAACTTCGCCAAATCTTACCTGGGAGCGCTCCTGTATATTGGCAAGGATGCGTACACGCGAGTCATGCAGCTCGTACAGTTGCTCTTTGACGGTGTACAGCTGGAGCTCAAGCTGCGCTTTCAGGTCTTGAAGTTGCATGAGCTCTGACTCTATGAGCGAGTCGGCCCCATCATAGCCCTGCAGCATGGACAGTGACATAACACAGAAATCATCGGATGTATAGTGGTCCCTCTATAATCCGGCACCATTTGTGCCAGGGAAATTCAATTGTGCTGGATTAGGGAGGGTGCTGGATTAACAAATCTGATTTACTGCTGCAATGTGCATGAAGAGGACATTTTGGCTACTGAAAATTGTGCTGGTTTATCGAGGGTGCTGGATTATAAAGTGCTGGATTAGAGAGGGACGACTGTATAGTATACCTCGGTGGTGAGACTAGGAAAGGGCAAGGTGGTATTATAGACCAATTAATGACTAGCAAAGGAAGTGAAAATACTAGCACTTGAAGAGTGACCCTTGTCATCTCCTTCGGGATGGCAAGATTATCCGATGCTGAAACCACCATTTTAGTACCAGAATATTCTGTGTGCAATTCATAGGCATCCACATAAACACACATGCATGTACAGAATCATCGGATGTCACTTAGCCCCCCCGGTCTCCTCCACACCCACCCGTGACCACCCCATTCCCAACCAATCACTTGAAGCACATATCCCCATCCATGAAGAAGACTCCTCTTTGTCCAGTCTGGATTGGTCTAGTTCAAGTACAGTCAGACCTCGTTTATCCGGTCCTCTTTTATTCCCTCGCCATCCGGAAGAAAATCGTCGGTTACCAATTTACAGCATATGCCATGCATACATACAGTATGTGTGTTCGATTATCCGGCTCCCTCGCCTGTCCGGACATTTTGTGGTAAACAGATGTGTGTGCCGGATTAGGCGAGGTCTGACTGTATTCAGTACTGAATACTCTAATCAGGATACCTCTCTGTACAGGACAGGTCTGGTCCAAATGAACCAAAAGGGATACAGGGCGTTCGTAATACACTGCAATAGTGACCCACTGACTGCGTCTGTGCAATATGGCACGGGTCCTCTCCATGGCATCACACTAGTGTCAGACGCATCCCACTGGACATTCTCAAGCGATTACCTTTTCTCGCTTGGGACGCTCTTCGCGAATGACGGCTGTTTGTCGATTCAGATGTATGTCTTTTCGACAGTGGTCAAGCTTCTTTTCCAGCGCTTCCTTGCATCGAGTAGTAGACCTAGCACGTCAATCCAGAAACAGACCATAGGTTATGATAACTCCAGCAATGCCTGCACACCCCCTTGAAAGTAGCACACACCGGGGGTATCTCACTTGGCCAGGCCAGGTCAAGAGCACTATACACATGGGCCACTACAATTGTAGTGTGACTGGGGACTGCGATCACAATGCAATGCTGGTCCCGCACACTGTTCTACAACACCAGGGTACTACTAGTGCAAGCTTGAACGAGACATGCATGGCACAATGGCATAGGAAACAAGGCAGGCTGTGCCCCCCCCCCCCCATACATGTGCTGTGCCCTTCATACATGTACATGTGTCTTGGGAATCATGACTGATATTCCCATGGCATACACTTGGCCAGACCTGGTTCAGTGGTTGTGAGCTACATGTATCAAATCTTCTGAGGTGGGCGATTCAGATTTCTGTAGCAGCTGAACTCAGCCACTATTGCATACATCGTTTGCAGCATTGTGGTATTCGTTTCATCATTCCGAGCGTACACTAGTAGTGGCAGTGTCGGAGTCAACCTGAACCTACATGGTTGTATGTAACTTCCTCGATTCTAAAAACAAAATTGATCATTTCTCTTTCCCAGCCTTGTACAGCTGTGTCGTGTGCACTGTGTCCTGAACTAACCCAGCTGCAGCTTTTGATTGTACATAATTATGACATTACAATCATGTACTGAATACTGTACAAATGGACTGTTAGCATTGCTGCTAATGCTGACAACTGATGTTGCTTGCTCATACCTGATTTCATCGCTGACCTCGACTAACGCACGGTGCAGCTTGCTGACAACGTCGCGGCTCTGACGGATGTACTGGTGTGCGCGCTGATTGCTTTGCAGCGCCAGCACATCTCGGCCAGTAGGCAGAGGATCATACATACGGGCAGTGTGGCATGTCACATCTCCCTGCTCGGCCAGAGCCTGAGCGACTTTGATGGTCTTCACCGATGCCTCCCGCCAGGGTCGGGGACCAACGGTTGCCTGAAGCTCGCTCATTTCGTTGCCTGGCCGTTTCACAATACAGTCGATAGGCAATTTCGTAGCGACATGAATCTTCCCCTGATCTGAACGTTACTCCATTTCACTATTCCCTACTTGTCTCTGCCTATCAATGGACTGCTGCAAGTGATTCTGTTTATGTCCGTCGGGTAATGCCCCTCGACATTAGCGACGAAAGTCCTGAAGACGAACTAAACTAAGATTCCCCTCGCTCTATCCCACTTTGAATGATTGCCCTAAAGATCGCACATATTCGTGAAAATATCAGCTCGGACACAGAAACAACAAGCTACGCTTCCCACCAGTGCACCACTCCTGTCGCCTGATACCCACTCCGTCGTGCTTGGCAACCGGCTACAGTAGTACAGATGATCGACAACAGACGTCTAGAGACTGAGTAGACTAGACTGCACTTCTACTGAGTTCTAGACAGACATGCACAAGACAGTGTCGATCAAGATTCACACACCTCCTTTGCTCTGTGGCAGCCCGGCCGTCTACAGTCAGTACAGCTTGTCAGTACTACTACTAGTACTAGTACTAGCTCTGGTACTGTGGTAGTGCCTACGTGTAGTGGTAAATCCATGTGCACCTACAATGACATTATGTAGATCTACATGACACAACCATAGACCTGCATGTAGATAATGATTAGTAGACTCTACATGATTGTGCTCGCTATGTTTGGTTCAACTAACTAATACTTGCTTCTTTGTGGCACGTGATACAACAAGCGGACAGACTCCGACTGTCAACGTTGCTTGTTTCTCAAGCCAAGGCCTCAGTCTAGTCCTCAGCTTCAGATCCTGTCCAGTCTACCTGGTCTACAAGACACATTTTATAAAGCCTAGACTGGGAGCTTGGTGAGTGTGTGGGTTTTTGGTGGCAGTGAGGAGGAGGAGCCTTGGTTGCAGTGTGTCCTTCGCCTTGTGATATACCAGCATTATCATAATCTAGACTGGAGTCGTAGTAGACCATGGATGGTAGACCGCTGGCTACTACAGACACACACACACGCAGGCAGCATCAACAGCGAGCAGGTTGACTGATCATATTGACATGTCAACGTGGTTTTCACAGCGTGTCACTTACTTTGTGCAAGGACGTGATGAATGCCCCCGAGTGTTGTCCTGCTGAAACGAATGGGTGGTTGTCATGGATGCGGTAGTCAATGGCTACACTGGACACGTACATGGACACGTACATGTACATGTACATCATGGCGAGTGTCATAACGCGACAAAGACCAATAAGGCTGTGCTGCAAAATAATTATTGATGGTTATTAATCTTGGAATAGAATCTAATCCATCCGTTTCAGTTTCAGAGTCAAACTCTGCATGCATAGCGAGGTGCAGGAATGAGGGAAATGATCCGTTCACACCTGCCGTGCTGGTGTCAGCGGTGACTCAGTGCTGATGGTGGCCGGTCAGGAAGTGCAGGCGTGCAGTAACTGCGGTTCCGACTCCGACGAAAGCATGTCTTTTGCCATAGCCATCTACTGAATACCTCGGCCTACAATGTTTTATGCGTGTGTGTGTGTATGTGTGTGTGTGTGTGTGTGTGTGTGTGTGTGTGTGTGTGTGTGTGTGTGTGTGTGTGTGTGTGTGTGTGTGTGTGCGTGTGTGCGTGTGCATGTGCGCGCTGATTCCATTGAGAAACATCAGAGACGTACTCCACTGAGTGTAACTGAGAGTAGACATGGGCTCTAAGTCCTATTTTGAGGGGAACGCTGGAACAAAGCTTCGAGCCCACATGCTCAGCTCAGGTACATGTAGATGCAGCATGCGGTGCATGCAGCATCAAAGAAACTGACCGGAATGATCACGTCACGATTCACGTGACTCGTTTCTCCTTTACTTGACTGGAGTGAAGTGACTGAACTGCCTGACTGAAGTCACGAATCACTCACAGGAAATGGCGACTGGTGGCCTCACCGCTATGTTTCAGTTTTGGTGATAATTGCATACTGTAGGGCAAGTGCGGGTGTGAAGATTCGCCTGGATGCCATCAGTGCTAGCACACCCATTCTTTTAGTGTCCACCCTTTCACACTTCAATCACTCCATGGTATCCAGGGTATGCAGTACCAGTACCAAACACGTCCTAACAAAAATAATAATTGTCTGTACATGGATATAATGTACTGCAGTTCTTGTCTACTGTACGCTCATAACTGTACCCTTCAAGTGTTATGTGGGTTGAAGCCATGAAGGTACTTCAAAGATCCTGGACGTCGGGGGGGGGGGGGGGGGGGTCGAGACTTCAACCTTGCTTGTATGTGTGTGTGCGTGTGTGTGGTGAGGTGTGTGTGTGTGTGTGTGTGTGTGTGTGTGTGTGTGTGTGTGTGTGTGTGTGTGTGTGTGTGTGTGTGTGTGTGTGTGTGTGTGTGTGTGTGTGTGTGTGTGTGTGTGTGTGTGTGTGTGTGTGTGTGTGTGTGTGTGTGTGTGTGTGTGTGTGTGTGTGTGTGTGTGTGTGTGTGTGTGTGTGTGTGTGTGTGTGTGTGTGTGTGTGTGTGTGTGTGTGTGTGTGTGTGTGTGTGTGTGTGTGCATAGCTGTTCGCTATCATCGCTCCCGCGATGGGCATGTCTGAGGTCTGAGGTCTGAGGTGTGTGTGTGTGTGTGTGTGTGTGTGTGTGTGTGTGATGAGGTGTGTGTGTGTGTGTGTGTATGTGTGTGTGTGTGTGTGTGTGTGTGTGTGTGTGTGTGTGTGTGTGTGTGTGTGGTGTGTGTGGTGTAGGTGTGTGTGTGTGACGCGCGTGTGTCTCTTTGTCTCTCCTCTGTCTACATTGTACATGTACATGTGGGTGTGACTCATGCACGATCTTTGTAAGATACTGCGTCCTGTCCTGATTTTTCTCTATCCCGATGTCTTCTACTTTTTAGTAGACTAGTAGTACATGTGTAGTACCTGTACTCGGTACTGTTGAGCTACTAGTACCGATTGGTGCATGTAAAATGAAAGTATCATAGTTACTATACCCAACTGTGCACCTTGACTTCTCCGATCGTTGAAATTGATATGTTCTGTCTTTCAACTTTGTACTTTAAATATTAAGAATATTATGTGTAACTTTCCAAGACTAGAGCCATATTGCCACACACGCACACATACACAGCCTTGAAATCTCAGTGCACCCCCAAGCCTGTGCAGCTGAGTTTGGGCATTGCAAGTGCTCAGCTCTGATAGTTCAGTCTAACATGAGTAGATTAATTCCCACCTCAATGTCTCCGTAGAGGATTATGGTGTGTGTTGGAGTCACGTACATGTACATGTAATGTACATTGTAGATCCAAGACGGCAGCTGGTCTAAGAGATCTGCACCGGCAATAATGGAGGAGCGGCATTGGGCTTCAACCCCATCACCTGATCACAACCCGCAGCATGTCATCAGTGGGTGATTGCCGAGATTGTTCCGGAGGAACCGCCGTCAGCAAGGTCCAACGCAGGCAAACATACAGCAGAACGATCCGTCGCATTGTCGACTCGCCGAGTCACTCATTGCCATTGGCCAACACCAGCATGCGCTGTCGATATGGCCCTTGAAAACAAGTACATGTACAGCGTCTTTCCAACCAGTCTTGGCGGTGAATTGGGAACCTCGCTGCTCGCTGGTGCAACGACAGGATCACAACCTTACCAAGGGCTCCAGTGTGATGTTTTCTGAGCGGAGGAGAGTACTGCTGTATAGCAAGGCAGTTGATTCTGCCATGAATCATGTGAATGGCGTAGAAAGGACACGCGAGATAATAGCACCTAGAAAGTGCTTTTTCTCTGTTTACTCTACCGAGCCTTGCCATTTGCATGTCAACCTCAGCCTGCAGAGGGCCTATTCGAGGACATCACACAAAGGAACCTGAATTAGCTTGAATTGCCAGGAACTGTCGTGATTACATCACGAAGTTGTACATAATATCACGTGTATGTTTGTGTGACGTTATCGTCCACGTAGCATTAGCCCTTTTGTTTGTTTTGATGGCTTTATGGTTTTACCCAGCTTCTTGATGATTAGAGATTAGAGTAAGTCATGTAGTACTGAATGAGAATTAATCCCAGTCCTTATGAAGTTAGTTATGTTGTGGAACTAAGAGAGTCTAGACTCTAGTCACAACATAAATTGGTGCCGAAACCATGTCCGAGTATCCAGGGAGTCTCCGAGTTTTAGCAAATAAAATCAGTGCATTGTATTCTACTGTCCACGATGACGATACGAAGTGCCAACGTTTAGTTTCAGAAAGTTGTCCATCTGACGACGCAGACCAGTGGGTCGGGATTCGGACCCAGTTTTGTGAACAGCATAGAGATGCCCTCACGAAGTTGGATGCTGACCTAGATAAGTACGGCGCTGCGTTATACGATTTCGTGGCTAGTGGAGCAACTCAAAAAAAGAAAAAGAAAGAAGATGAAGAAGAGTATGAAAGTATGGCCAGTACGTTACCGTCGTACTTCAAAAATCTGTCCCTGCTGAGTGCTCAAGCCAAAAGGGCCACAGCCAACACCAGTACCAGCAGTCAAGCACCTGGAATTGACGTCCAGCAGCTGCTGACAATGCACACCGCAACTCAGCAACAAACACAGCAGTTGCTGTCAGCCATTGGGAAGCACACCAGCACGGTTGGCCAGCTGGCGGCCAACTCGGCACAGCCTGCACAGAGTGCTCATGGATCTGTAAAATTGCCCGTGCTCACAATCAGGAAGTTTGATGGTGACATACTTCATTTCACTGAGTTCATTGACATGTTTCAATCTGCGATCGGTACAAATCAAAGCCTGTCTGCCGTACAGAAACTGTCGTATTTGAGAAGTCATTTGACAGGCATGGCCCTGGATGTTATTGCCGGTATTCCCACCACCGATTCAAATTACCCCGTGGCGTTAGGATTATTGAAGGATCGCTTTGGCAAGAAGGATGCCATCATCGCAGCCCGATACCGCGCAATTACCGAAATACCAGCGCCATCAAATAAACCTCACATGTTGCGGAGATTTTACAACGAGGTGGAGGCTAATTTGCGCTGTTTGCAAGCGGAAGGTCAAAGTGTGCAACAGGAACTGCTGATTCCTGTCATCACTTCCAAGTTACCAAAGTGCGTCATCGTACAACTTGAGACACAGAAACCCCACAATCAGAGTTGGACTGTTGATGAGCTGCGGAAACAGCTGGGAATCTACCTGGAGGTCCGTGAATCGGCCGAGCGACTGGCAGGAGACACAGCCAGCAAACCAGAGAGCACTCTGCCACGACCACCGCCTGTTTCCGCACAGCCTCATGCTGCCTACTCCCAACCTCCGGCCACGGCAGCCACG